AAACACGACAGTACAATGATGAAAACGCGATAGTACGATGGTGAAAACGCGATAGTACGATGGTGAAAACGCGATAGTACGATGGTGAAAACGCGATAGTACGATGATGAAAACACGACAGTACGATGATGAAAACGCGAAATCACGAAACTACGATGATGAAAACGCGACAGTACGATGGTGAAAACACGATAGTTTATCGCGCTTTCATCATCGTAGTATCGTACTGTCGCGTTTTCATCATCGTACTTTCGCGTTTTCATCATCGTGCTTTCGCATTTTCACCATCGTAGTTTCGTGATTTCGCGTTTTCACCATCGTACTATAGACTATCGCGTTTCAGATCAACACATTCATAGGCAATGGCCCTAACGGCATTCCGTAACAATGCATCCTCTTACAAATTATTTTATGCTGCATTAATGAGTTAAACTTTTTGTATGACTTAAAATTACGTTCTCAATACTTATGCGCAACACACAAGAAACAATTTACAAAATTGTCGCCCTTGCACATATTTTGAGAATAGCGTCAAGTTAGCGTAAAAAAGACGTTAGCTCTGTGGTTTTCAATACGCTATACATTACCCACAAAGACAGCTGCTTTTTAACAGCGAAATATTAAAAAATATTTGATTCAGATTTCAGCTATTTAAAAGCGAAGACGAAATGTTGTCTTTAAATTGTAGAAAAGGTATACACGTATTTTAAAAAAAGAAACAAAGATGTTTGAGAGTATTATAGTGGACATGTAGCTCTATTTAATGCAACAGGCTTACCGAAATCGATTTTCAAATTAATGTTTTACTCCGTTTATGTATCTTAATTAATTTCAACGAATCAAGTAATATCTTTCTGCAAAGTAATTTTCTAAAAATGAAAATCAATTTTCTTCTAATCTCAGAATTGCTATACCAGTCAGAGATTGTCAGGACAACAGTGAAATCTTTTGTCATTTCAAACACAGTGATGGCGTTGGAGACGGTCATGACAAAGATGTTAATAAATCAGATGTTGATGCTGATCAAGGAACGGAAGTTGATGCTTCGTATCACGGCATTGTAACCTACTAGTATGCCAGCGTTCTAGAAAAACAGAAAGCTGGAGCGTCGGGCCGAAGAGGAAAGGGAAATTAATTGTAAAGAAATCCGTAAGAGTCGATGAAGGAAACATGGCACGTAAGGTAGATAACTTGTTAAGTTAATTAAAAAGCTAGAAAGCATGCGGTGAAACGAACCCGTTCATATTACGAGTTTTGCAACAGTGTAGACGCTTTCCTTAGACATGTAGAAAAACCGAAAGTCTACATCAAATATTCCGAAAGGGGAGATGGTGTGCAACGCGAGGGGTTTTACAGTTTTTGGTGTTAGACCAGCAACTATTAAATGTAAAAGCCGGCAACGTGCCATTATTGGATATGGCTTACATGTTTCCAGCAGAAGTCACCTGCAAGAATATATTCAAACAATATCTTTAGCACATGATGATATGCTACGCCAAAAAAGCAAACGACAATTTTCGCCATATTTCAACTGTTAGCAATGCATTGACATGTCCAGATCCGAAACCATTTGAATGTGTGCACTGGATAAACTTAATCTATAAATTTTATATTTCCGTGCCTGTCAAATGTTCAAACAATAATGTTAACTTACCTGCAGAAAAGTTTTCAAACTGCACAAATCCACCATGGAGAAATACAAAAAAAAACCAAACAGCAGACGACAATTGTTATGGATAACGTTTACTTCCGGTATACTGTCTGTTGACATTGAAATATTCATTTGGCATTATTCCACATTAAACCTTTGTATAACAAGTACGCGATCAAGTTTACGCTTTCAGCATAGACAGACGTATATCTTTTGGATACTTAAAACCTAAGCTCACTACAAACGAGAAACCATCAAGCAGATCGTCTAATCCAGTTGGTGAATGTTCACGGTTCTCAAAGACGAGCACGCGACAACCTATATGCCAGCAGTAGCAGACGATCAAAATAATTGCAGAAGACAAGCAAACAACGGGATATGAAAGAATCATTGACGGATCCTTTTGGAATAATGTCTGCTTACTGTAACAGCGAGATTCATTCTAGTTTTTTTTTTAATTTCTAAAATATAATTCATTCACGGAGCTAGACTATTTTTAAACACAGCTATAATATAGTATTTAATACTAACTAATTTTAATATGTTGTATACAGACAATAACTCATTTTAGATACAATTTATGTGTTTTTATTACGTACGGCGACATTGTATTTTCCCTCCGACATGTACATGTACTATTCCATTTTTTTGCAGGTATGACATCTCTCTAGCAGACGACACGTAAAATTGGAAACAATATGGCATTTTTCATAGCTTATTGTTATAGTTTTTATTTGTTTGGGTCGTCAGACCAAACAAATAATGGTAGCGAAATTTCAGAGTCTGATGCTGCCGAAAGTAGGCCGCTTTTTTGAAGCGGTTACTTCACTTTATATGTACAGTAACGCCGAAAAAAATCAGGGGAGATCACTGCGTAAAGATTGTCAAATGACAGGCGCATTAATTTTCAAGCAAAATAATTCCCGAATGGTCGAAGATTTCTAATATTGTTTTATCCTTTATAGATATACATGCTTATAATAAGCTCCATGATTATTAACATCTGTGTTAAACAACAGTTAGCGTCGAAATAATAAGGGTTACACACCCTAATTTAGAATAATATGGTTTTCTTCAGACCTTTTACATATAACTTCACCGTGGCCGAGGGGTCTGGAGTTCAAATCCAGGATGACAACTCTTTTTTTTCAAATTGTTTTAATCAAATAAACATTGAATTGAATATCAGTGTTGCAATTAGTCTTAAAGCCAATTAACTACAATTAAAACGCTGGAAAGCACTGGTGGCACTATACAAAAAACAAATTGGTTTATAATCTCACAACCTTCACCTTTCTGACATTCTGAGACCCAAACACATTCAGCGCCTTCTGTGCTTTGATTTATTGTTTTGCATTGGGACACATTTATTATTTATTCAAAGAGAACATTAATCAATGTAAAAATGGGTATAGCAATTAACACACATGGACTAATGTTTAGTATTACAAGCAAAAACGTTCGAGAAAAACAGCATCCACATTGGAATGTAGATGGTTACTGAGCATGATTTGTTGTATATTTTATGTACTTACTTCAGAAAAAAGAAGCGAACAGAGAAAATAAATTGCTTTAACTAGAAACATCAATTTATCATAGTTTATTTCAAAATGTATGTTTTATATTTACAATAACGGTGTAGTTTATTGATCGAAATCTTATAAAATAAACATATCGTCTTTTATGTATTGATTTATGTTTCCACTCCTCAGAGGTAAATTCTATATCGTATCAAACAGTAAGACTCTTTGTTACAAGTTAATAATGGTTTGTCTATTATAACTTGATGGTATTGATCATTTTATGCAACAGCTTTAGGAAATATTGTCACAGCTGCATTTTTTACTGACTTGAAATTGATTTTTAAGGTATGAGATGGCAATTTGATTATAAAAAATATAGGAATTAATGCCAGAAAAAAAAATATGATGGAACTGCTTTCTCTAATTTATAACCTAATGAAAGTAAACTCAAATATAACAATTTGTAGATATTTATTCTTTTAATAAAAAGTCGATACATTCAAGAATGAATTTGCAGTCAAGATTACTCATAAAAAGATAGCGACAATCTTGATTAAATATTCATTATTACATCGTTTGTAACCCGTTTGAAATCAGTCCGATGACCAAAACTTTAAAGTTATTACCGGGTAACGGTATATACGCCTTATGGGAAATTATACAGCCTGAATGAGAAAAATATGACCCCGACGCCAGTCGATTATTGATCCAATTAATGAAAACAATTTATATGAACATTTTTTGACACTGAAGTATCTAATACTAATTGAATAGAACTTAGATTTATGCTAAAACATAAAGAAACATATTTACATTTTGAACCGCGTCACGACAAAACCAACATAGTGCGTTTGCGACCAGCATGGATCCAGACCAGCCTGTCTGATCTACGGATGCGCAAGCTGGTCTGGATTCATGCTGGTCGCAAACCCATTATGTTGGTTTTGTCATGGCACGGCTCATTTATGAAATGATAACGTTATTGCAGTACAAATATGCAGAAGATACATTTATCATCAGTCATTGGTGGTCTTGCTGCTTCTTAATCTACATAAACATATTTTTATATTGTAATTAAAGACTCTGACATAATTAAACTTCCCTTCAGTGTCACTTCCCACTGATGACAAAGCAGACCTCATTCTTAGACTCTAAATCCCTCCATGAAGATATTGTCCAAATGAGAATCTGTGGGGAAAAAATTGGACATGGAGTTTCACGGGGGGGAATCACGTGACTTTGTATAGTAATACCCACGAGAAAATGGCGACTGCTGAGCCCCGGTAAGTACCTTATTATGTTAAATTAAGGTGACAAACGTTTCTTAAATCAAAACAAAACCTAGCGTATCATATGCGCGTTAATTTTCTTCAAATGACAATACAAAGTGCATTATCGTACGTTTTGTGGTTTTTGAGAACATTGTTTGAATTGTGTGAAAATTGCACATTCAGCGATAGTAATTCGCACGAAGCGATATAATTTGGTACCAAAATAAATGAAAATAAACTTACTTTCTGCACTTAAGACACAAAATCAATCATTTTATTGACATCTGTTATCGTAGAAGTTCATATAAAATATATTTTCGAAGGTCTGTAGCCTACAAATGTTCTTTGCAAATGTATAGTAAGTATAACGAACAATTTCTGGATAGTAAGTTACACGAAAACAAAATAGTAAGTTTCACGCACAGATTCCATTAGCATACATATACATTAAAAGAAAGTTAAAGTTCATATGTTAAGAGATAGAAAATACTTATTTCAATTATGCAAGATCAAATATTTCACATTTTTGTCTATAGGACGAATGCTTAATTGGTTGCTATTATGGGCGCATTTGTTGCCGATAAACTTAGTTTGGTTTCAAACCCGTTTTGTAAACCCTACATTTGTTTTTCAGTTTTTCACTTAAACTAAAACTGATTTAGTTGTTTTTAGAAGCGGAAACAAGAACCGGTTTAGCAAACTGACCAAACTGCCTCCAGATGCAGTTTGATCGGTTTAGGTTGTCCGAACATACATGCACTTTCCTGGAAAAATGGCGGCAGCCAAACATGAAGGAATGTTGGACCAAAATTCAAATCGGTAATTGACAAATGAGCATAATTTTTTAAACATTTTAAGCGGAACAGTAATGTTACTTATTAGTTGCAAAGTTGTATGACACAGCTTATAATGCTTTATAAGTATAACTTGTGATGTTGCATTTATAGACGAAACGTACTCGAGTCTCAACGTACCCAGCATTAAAAAGTCAAAGTAGAGATCTACTTAACATATATCACAAAATATTCTCTTCTATATTTTAGTTTTAATATTTAAAAAGTAGCTATTTATGTGATGAAATTAAGTATTCTTTAATAATTTACTTCTCACTCTCAGTCCTGTAATAAATTACGTTGAACTGTTGAATTATTATTTTCTAAGGATTCTTACTTTATTTCAGTATCACAGAACGAAGTATTGCAAAGCCCAAGTTTTCAGTGGACGAGACCTGCTGTTCTTAGGTTAATAGCACTTTATAAAGAGAATGAAGCAAAATTTCAGAAACCAGCTATTAAGAAAAAGACAGTTTGGCAAGAAATTGCAAACAAAATTACTGAACACCTGTTACCAGTAACATGGCAGCAGTGTGAACAAAAATGGAAAAACATGACAAAAGCATACAGAGACACAATCGATAATAACCGAAAATCTGGTGCTGATAGAAAGGAATGCCCTTTCTTTAAAGAAATTGGAGAAATATATGGGTACAGACCAAATGTTACTCCATTACATTGTGAAGGATCAATGGCTGAAGCTGGTGAAAGTGAATCTAGCACAGGTAGTGAAGAACCAGGAGCTTCTACATGTAGTTCACCAATCAAGAAAAAAAAGCAGAAAACAAGAAAAAACAAAACCGATACAGTAATACAGTTAATAGAAGATATGAAAGAAGAGCAAAGGGAGTTAATAACTGAGATAAGAAAGCAACATGAAGATAGAATGACAACTGAAAAACAGAAAATTGAACTTTTGTCAAAATTACTGAAAGATTGAAGTTAAGAAAGCTGGACAACAGTATTGCTTGTTTTAAAATGCTCAGCACCTAGAACTGATTGCGTTTTAATATGCTCAGCACATAAAATGGTATGGCTTGCTTGAAAATGCTCAACACTTAGAACAGTACAGCTTGTTGAAAAATGCTCAACATAAAGAAGAGTATCACTTATTTGAAAGTAATTTACACATATAACAGTATCACCTGTTTGAAAATGATCAACATGTAGTACGCAATCACTTGATTAAGTATCAGTTTGCTGGATTGTTAATGTGCTAATTCATTCTGATTTGGAAGTTCTGTCTGAAGAACAGACATTAGTGTTTTGAAATTTATAAAACCTTACTCAGTTTTCTTGTTAAAGTAAGATGGTTAGTTTTTAAAGTGTTCTAACATTTCATTTCAACTAGGCAGCAGATTACCTGCCAAATTTGTTTGCTAATTTTTGCCCAGTTTAAGGTCCAGGTGTTCTTATATCTACTTTGTTGACTTAATTGGTCATTTTGTGTTTCGTGCAAAGAATGCACCTGACTAACATTCTTTAGATATCCAAAATGTACAGTGTTTTTAAAATTAAATGATAAAAGTAATGATCTTCTCAAGTTCTGCCATAGACTTAATATGATTCAGTTATGAATTGTGCTCCATTCAAAACATGGCTTTAAAAGGATTTAAGAAGGAAATTCTGCGTGGTTTTATTAATAGTATAGTGGAAACTTCTTTATAAACGTATGTACATGTATAAAGCAAGTTTTCTTGACATGCTGTAAAAATTGTTGTGGCCTTCTAGTTTATTTTTTGTAAGATCAACTATACTGCAGTAAATATTATTAAAATGATTTTAGGAATTTCAAACCTATGGAATTTATAATATGCCCCATTGAACAGCTGTAGGGCGATATATGTGTGTTTTTCTGTGTGTGCTCACTTCTGCGAGTCGTATTAGCTTCATATCTTTTAAACTGCTTAAAGATTTTGAATTTATTTGTGTATTTGCTATTGAGATAATGTGTCCAGTACAGTTTTAAGCTATACTGACACAATTTCAATATAGTACTTGAGCTTCAAACTTCCACTTTACAATGGTTATATGTTAAGTCTCCACACCTTATCTCTCTTAACTGCCTGAAGTAATTTAGCAGAAATGTTTAACATAATGAAATGGCGTGTGTTTATTGGTCCATTCTTGTAACAGTTCAAGGTCATGCAGACACAGGGCAGAGCGCAAGTTTAAATGGTAAAGATATGCTTGGCACTCATCGTTGTTGTACACAGTAGCTGATACCAATACCTTTGCAGACAGAACTTATATATCTTTTAATATTTTAAGATAGACTTTGAATTTGCATTTTAGCAAATATCAGCTAAATGATGGAAACAAACTTCCTGTTGTAAGAAAACCAGTTTCGAAATTCAAGTATACTTGTTTTTATTTGAGCTTTATTTGATCATTTATTATTGTGGAAACTACAATCGTACGATGAACCCTTGTTTGTGCTAACAGTTTTTAATGCCCTTGTCTTTTTTAAAGTTTTAGGGTAAATTGACTCGACATATACTTTTTTTAGACATGTTTAGTTATGACATGTGAGTTATTTCTCAGATGTGAGAAGGTGGAAATTAATATTGTTCTAGATTTTTTTCACAACTGATCATATTTTCATTGGAGATTCTTTATTTTACTTTTAAGACTTGTAGGAAAAAGTGTACAGTGTACAAGATTAATTAAGAAAATTTCTTTTCTGTTACATGTGTTGTTATGTTTATAACATTCAGTTAAATAAAAGAGAAACACAGCTTATGAATGTTTTCTTTTTAATTTTGACTAAATCAGTTATGTATTATCTTATCTGTAAATAATACTGCCACTTGGTATACACCATAATGCATGTACTGTTCAAAGTTACAAAAGGTCGGCAATGGCTTTTCGTTTCACGTCAGCTGACGCACATGTTTTACAAATGTCCATAAAATTGTTGACCTCTTCGTTGTCCTCGGCGCTATCCGGTATGAATTCCAGGATGTCCTCAGCACTGTTGTACAGACAAAGTTGATGAAGACAACAACAACTTAGTACAACATGCACAATAGCTTTGATGTCTGTCAGATCCACAAATTTCAGTCTGCGAAAGCGTCCTTTCAGAGCTCCAAAAGCTCTTTCTATGCAGATTCTTGTTGAACTATGTTTGTAATTGTACCTTTTCTGGATTTCATTGAGGTTTCCAAAGTCCTTAAAAGGTACCATTAACCAGTTGGATAGTGGATAGGCTGAATCTCCAAGTAGATGTGTGTTGATGGGAAACATGTAGATTTCTTCACTTTCAGCTGCTGAAGCACTCTTGAATAACGGGGAATTTCTAAGGACTCGTGCATCGTGCACTGACCCAGGCCACCCGCAATATACATCTAAAAACTTAAGGTTACAGTCGCAAACTGCTTGAAGTATCAAGGAGGGTAACCTTTTCTGTGAATATAGTTTTCTGGGAATTCTGTTGGGGTGCGGATAGGGATATGACTTCCATCAATCGCTCCAATGACACCTGGAAAACCATTGATTTCCTGGAATCCATCTACAGTTCTATCAGCTGTCCGTTTCTCTGGCCATTTCACTAAATCTGGTAGCAAGTGTTTACAAATTTTCTCTGAAATTTCATGAATGCTTTTGTGAACAGAATACTCGCATACCCCAAATATATCTGCCAAAGCTTGATACGTCTGTTGTGTTGATATATACTTGACATATATTAGCAGTTTCTTTTCAACGCATATTTCCCCTTTACCTATGTATGGAATCATTTGTTCTACTAACGAGTCGAATGTTTCCCTACTGATTCGGAATCTGTCCTTAAAATCATCAACACTATAATATGGCAATACTCCCTCCACATAGTTCTGGATTCGTTATTTTCTTTCTCTAAATGTTGTGGTGGCAACAGCCATGCTACAAACTGTGTTCCTGGTTATTTTTTGTAGCAAATGAATATTGTCATCGTGTTCAGAACACATTAATTCTTCTAAAAATTAGATATCAGGATACATTGTCCACCATTTTTACTTGATAAACCCACAGTTTGGTGATTAAAACTAAACAGGTTTCAGGTTGATCCTAATAACACTAAACTGCAAACCTATAACATGAACTGGTTTATCGGCAACAAATGCGCTCTATTATAATATATCAAATGAACTTTGATGGGATTTGATATTACACGGCTCAGTGTTATTTTTCTGTGGCGATAGTAGTTCTTTGACCTCTGCAGTTTCAGGTGTGTCTTGGCCCTCATTTTACTGTAATGAACAAATATAATTGCTTGTTAATTGGTATGGTGATGTTTATTAACTGAATGCTGATCGATGTTTTTATATGGCGGTATTTGTTACATTTAGTCACTATGTTACTTAATTTATGAAAATATATTGAAGAATTCGCAAGAACAAAATAACTTCTTACAAAAAAAAACAACAAAAAAAAACAACAACAACAAACAACAATGATACAGTGATACAAGTTATGATTAAAGGCACATTGTTCCTCAGAAATCCATATTGTTTAAATTCTTTAGAAATGTCAAACATGTGTTTGATAATGTTTAAATAATGGATAAAACGTATGATAGTATTTTATTACAACTGAAAAAGGTAGCACTGAACATTATATTAAGTGATGTGTCGCTAAGGTAGCAAAATGTAAACAAAGTAGTATTTTGACTTCCATACGAAATACTTATTCACTAAAGGTATACCATTTTCCAACAGAACCAAAGATGTAAAAGATAGTTTGAGTATCTAGCAAATGAGTATGTTTTCGGAAACTGTAACAAGATACCAAAAATAAACAGTTTTTTTTTTAAATAAAAATGATAGCATTTAAGAGGCATAATGGACATTCAAAGAAAAACGAATATTTGAAATCAAACGGTCAAAGATATGAAGGCAAGTGGAGTAAAAAAAATATTTACATAAAACAATCTTAGATGCTGGGTTTCAAATCACACCGTCAATGTCGGGACACCTGAGTTAAAGCACCGACGTTTTGTTAGCTAGTTTGATGAAAGAATTCAAGGACTCTGGTCGGACTAGAATCCATAGCGGTGAGAAGCATGTGTATAAAAATCAGGGACTTTAAACACTCCGCCATGGACGCACTGAATATCTTATTTACTTACTCTATCACAAACAAAAAGTAAGAGTTTACGACGCAACACATTTGCACATGGTAAGAAAATAAACGTATAGTAATACATAACATTTTAACAAAACTTCTTGGGTTTATTTATAAAATCTGCCAGTGTAAGAATAAAATTAATAAAAACTTTGTATACCAGTTCTATGATGGCATTAAATATCAATGTGAAATGGCGAATGTCTTCTCCTTTGCGTTTTTGGTCCAAATTGCAGATACTGAAAAATAAATGATGGTGTTGTAATATTTCCTTCTGCACAGTTATTTCTTTATAAATCTAGTTCTAAAGATAACGGATGTGGGTCCAGTCTAACGTGAAAAAGGGCCAAGTGTAACGTACATTGTTGAGTATCAATGTCAATGTCTCATTTAGTTATTTTAAGTTAAGTAATCTTTTATGAAATTATATGAATATGAATACATGTAATATGAAATAATATGAATTATTATTAAAATACTCTCTCGATATTTGTTTCTCTGTCACCGTAGACGGAACACACTTGCAAATTTGAAACCAAAAGAATTATAAAATAGTTTCGTCACATTTAAGTAAGCTATTGGAAACTGTGCGTTGATTTAAGAAACGTTTGTCACCTTAATTTAACATAATAAGGTACTTACCGGGGCTCAGCAGTCGCCATTTTCTCGTGGGTATTACTATACAAAGTCACGTGATTCCCCCCGTGAGTTTAATTTATTTAATTGCTAAGTCCTACACATAACAAGAAAAAAAACCAATATACCTTACTAGATGAATTCTTGACTCTCTTCCATTGGACCTTAGACTTTACCTATCATCTCAATTTTCTTATAATAAATTTTTACACCTTAAGAATTATAACAAATGCCCATTAGACCCTATCCTTTGTTATGAGAAATATTATTATTATAATAATGCTATTACATTATATTGTTTCTCAGATAATTTAAACCGATAAACAGTGTACAAACTAGCAGACAACGGGCTTTTCTTAGAGTTTCGAGTAAAGAAAACCAGTTGAATATCCATCTGTAAAATGGTTGGTAACTTTAACAAAAAAAATTAATATACCTTTGGTGTCAAAAGATATAATTATGTTGAAGTTTAAATTGATACAAAGCTAAGATTTCGAGCTTTTCATTTGTGTAAGAATTTTAAAATCGCAATAAACTGGCAGTTTCAAAATTGTGTTATTTGTATTCTTTAAGCTTTAACAAAATGTGCATATTATTATTTTAGTACCGCGTATCCTAAACCAGTGCCACGTATTTACAGAGTATATTTTTATACTAGCACCGTTTCATAAAATGGCGGCCAAAACAAAAATAATTTCATAAAATAATATTTTTTTCTCTGAAACATTATCTAGATTCTAAATATGGCAACCAAAAGAAAAAGAGATGTTGAAGAAGATGCTTTGTCTACGCCAGCATCAAAATTTCAGAAGCAAGACGAAGGTAAATGGCAATAAATTACAAAAAATTAAAGAAAATTGTTACAAGGAAGTGGCTAGCCGGCCCGTACGGCTAGCCAAAAGTTCTAGCCGTACGTGAGTCACGTACGACTAGCCAGGACACACTGTCTTCAGTAAAGAAAGTACGTACTTTAATTGTCATCTCAAGACGTCGAGATAAAATAGCGTTTGGTTGCAGTTAAATAACATCAATTGAAATAGTTTACAAAATTTTGATAATAATCCTTTTTTGTTTCATTAAGTTTAATTTTTAAATAAAAAAAAAACAAAAAAACGAAAACAATTGTTGTTGGGCTCTGATAATTGCGTCAATTACCGACGGTATAGAAGTTTGTCCATCGTCCATCATTAAGGAAAGTTTGCATTATTAAATTATTTTTTCCTTTTCACCGTTCACAAATCATAAGCATGAAAATTAAGGACGTTATAACATGCAACTTTGACACTTAATTTTATTGAGATAGAAAATATTAGATTATACAATGCTTACTCGTATTTTTTTTTTTGCAAAATTGCGGAGCATCTTTATTAAAGTGAACACACTAGGACAAATGCGGAGATTTGATTAAAATCGTCGTTTAAAGACACAAAATAACATATGCATTTTCGACTTCCATATAATTTTGAAAAGTGCCGTACGGCTAGCCAATACAGTGTGTTCAGGCTAGTCGTACGTGACTCACGTACAGCTAGAACTTTTGGCTAGCCGTACGGGCCCGTACGGCTAGCCACTTCCTTGTTACAAAGAGATATGTGGCTATAATTTAGGACCGGTTGTTTACAATAGTTGAGATGGAGATATTATTTTTCCTAGTTACACATACAATGATATAATTTTCTTAACACTATATAGTAATAGAGGGGCTGTCAGGTGTGGAGTGTATCTTGAAAAAACAGCATAGTTGTGATAATTGTCTGATGATTTACACAGACACAAGTTTGGAGTATAGACCCCGCCCTTCTCCGCCCATGAATAATATGAAATTAGGCAAAGCCTATAAACAGGGAAGTCGTTAAAAAAATCCTTTCATTCTTTCCGTTTTAAAGGTGTCATTCGGTGTTACATGCACCGCTTCCGTTTCACTAGTCAAAATATATTGACGTGCCAAAGCTTGATTCTGAGATATTTTCGTTCTGGGGCAGAATCTCGCTTTAAAGGCGAGATATTGCCCAGACAGGAAAATAGCACAATATCTCGTCGCGCAGTACAATTAGTTGGACTACCGTTTCACTCGACGATTATTATTAATCCGAAAAGTTGAGATTTGTTCCTTTATCGGAATACCCCGCATATTATCATTGAGTTACATTGTAAATGGCGGCGCCCGACTAGAACTGACACTGAAAATTTCATTGATAGGTATAGAATTCTATATATTTTTTAACTGTTTTTTTATTTGATTTTCTTTTAAATATACATGTGTAGTCTATAGCCGGGCAAGCCAAAGCCCGGACCCGCTTTGCGGGCCCGGTCTTTGACTTCCCCGTATAAAAAATAAAAGTATTATTTATTACAAGAACACGTCCCTCACCGCTGTAGGTTCGATGCCCACTCGGGTCGAAATCTTTCATGTGAGGAAGCCATCCAGCTGGCTTACGGAAGGTCGGTGGTTCTACCCAGGTGCCCGCTCGTGCCTGAAATAATGCCCGAAGGGGCACTTGGGGTCTTCCTCCACCAATAAAGCTGGAAAAAAATCGACAAAAAAATCTCGGCGGGACGCTCTAGGATGGCCCGACTTGAGTGTACGGTCGCCCATATGGCCTTTTCGGCGGCGACCTTAAATAAACGCATTAAAAAAAAAAGAAATTCAATAGCAACTACTCGCCCCTTTCCGTCAGTCTTCTTGATTTGGTTTTTGTACTGATTAGGGGATGTAACCGCTGCGGGGATTTTGGTTTCGGCATAAATGAAAGCGCAAAACAGTGCCGAAACTCATTCCAGTCGTCTCGCATCAAAGGAAAGCCTACATTGTTATCTTTATGAAATTATGATATTTTAGGGACTTTAAACGTTGTTAAAATAGCGGAAAACAAGTTTTATGTTCAAGACATGTGACCAGGTCATGATAATATGCAAAATATTTTGACGTACGGTTTGCACGATAAAAATAGACATGGTGTATACAAGTGCGAATCAACAAAAGGAGCCACGCAGATAACTCCAAGTGTCTGTGATGATTTATGGTTTTAGAAATTATTCTTTGAACAAATATTTTCAATTACTTTTTTTACGGTAGATCTACAGTGTTTCCCATAATTTTGGGACATACTACCATTTTCCTAAATAAGCTTTTTCTCTGTGCAAATCTGAAAATCCCATCCCCCTTACTTTGCTTATTGTTCATCAACTGCAGCAGAGACTGTCAGACAGCTCAACATATTTTAGACATGATGGTGATAATAGATATCATAAGGGACTTCTTCTTTTTTCTGGCATGGGAGTCCCAAGACTCCTATTTTGAAAATCCTAGTGAGAACCCTGCTTCTGCCCTAAATTACACTTCTGATACAGTGGTGTTAATGGCCGAGTTGTTTACACACCTTTGTGTTTGGAAAGTCACCATAGGACCTCTACTATGTTGGTGCGATGTAAAACCGAACAAAAATGGTAGAAATTAATTATGTAGAAAATCAGCAAAAACAAATTATCATTGAATGATCATAATGATGATAATATAAAGTAATTACTTTTTTAGAATCAATTTTCATAATTCTGTTAATTCATCATGTTCAAATAAGATACAAACAACATCTACATGTATGATAAGAGATTAACAAATATAGACTCACTTGGAACACCGCTGACTTGGTTGAACATCACCAATTCATTTAGATGTAGATAGAACAGTACTACATGTAAATACGTGCATTTACTTACTACATGTATAATTTATACTGTATTGAGCAACTTGGTCCGGGAAAGATCTGTTTCATAGAAAAAAACTATGGTTGTTATTAAATCATTACATCTTTTACCTAGGAGAAGGACACATGACATGTGTCTGTCACTGGGGTACAATATGAAAACAGTGTATGTGCGTTACGCTTGTTTGGTACAATGTACAACTAAAATGGAATTTATTCTAGTAATTTGACCTGCTTGATGACAAATTTCTTGCAATGTAAAATTTACATTAATTGTTAAGAAAATCTTTTAAATATTTAAATATGTTGACAGCAGAGGAAAAATCCTTAAGCTTCTACTATTTATTAACACACAGTAATTGAATTTTCTAACTGTGACAAATAGTCATAACTTTGTTAAGTAAGTTCTTGCGCTTATCTTTTGCAGTGACAAGATCGGGGAGAGTGAGGAAGAAGCCTGCTAAGTTTGTAGAAGAGAATAAAGAAGAATCCGAAATTAAGCCAGATGTTGCAAAGCTGCCACGTTCTCCTCCAGTGCCTCGTGTCCAGCAGGTAGAGATTGCAACAACACCACCAGTCCCTGCAGCAAAAATTGTGATGGTTCCAGTGAAACAGGAAGTACAAACACCATATAAAGAGGATGCCTCCTCCAATGATGAAGATTCAGGAAAGCCAGGTAGATCATCAAGGGTGAGTTTCTACTTCATTGCATCAAATACATGTATTGCTTAATTAACCTGTCAGAACAGATGATTTAGGTTTGTAGTGTAGATTCATATACTTCAATAATTGCCAAGGTTCTCTTACACTGCTGGTTGGATGATTAAAATTATTCATATATAATTATAATTAATTTGTCAGCATTGCAGATTTGCATAGTGGTCTGCTTCGAAAGTCCCTAGGGTCAAAATTTGTGACACCCGATCGTTATTTCTGTAATATAGAAAGATATTATTAGATAAAAATTTAGGGAAAAATAAGTAAAAAGCATTTGATTGACACTGGCACCCCTTGATAACATTTACATGTGAGTTTGGTCAAAAGTTTCAATCTACAATATAAACAGGCTTCTAATATATAACACTCATCACTAGATGAAATTGTTGATACAGATAGATAAAATTACCCCAGCCACATACATATACAGTGTAACTTCTGAAAACCGAACACCCACGGGACTTGTCAAAAAGTTCGGATTTCAGAGGTTTCCGGAATTCAGAGGTTTATGATAATGCGGACAAGACTAAGCCACTTAATATCACTAAATGTCAAGGAAGAAGTGGCCTTTACTGTAATATCATATATAATAGTCTTTTAATCAAGATAAAGATGTGAATGAAAAGAATATATTTTTTATCTTACTTGCAAATGCTTTTGAATTTCTATCAGTTTGTAGAAATGTTGTTAATTGCATAAACTTACATATCGTCCGATGCTAGTTAATTAATTATTACATCAAATGCAATAAAATCCCTAAAGACTTTTGATGCATACATTGTCCAATTAATTGTCATTTAATCCGCTAATAAACACTTCAAATTAACTGACCGCCGTAAATTACTTTGATTAACCGCATCACTTCAAACATACCATTTCACAGTTTGTGATTTTTAACACGTGTCAATTTACACGATCACCGCTAATTAGTAAACAATCGATAGGGAGATTAAATCTTCCTGCAGGGTTTACAATGTATTTCACACCTTTGAATATTTCCGGTTTTTGGAGGTAAAATTGCATTGATTTGACTCTAATTTTACGAAAATATCGTCCGGAATTCAGAATTTAGAAGTTCCGGAATTCAGAAGTATTATTGTAATAGAAATTAGAAGGGAAAAAATCGGGACCGAAAAAATTGTTCGGTTTTTAGAAGTTTCCGGATTTCAGAAGTTCCGGAATTCGGAAGTTACACTGTACATAAAAGTAACCATTTTGTTAATCAACATCATTTAAAACAACAAAACTTGTTTCCGAATTTTAAAAGTGAAAGATATTAATAAAATTGTACACAGTTATATGTTTGCCTAAAAAATTATATTAAAAAGAACAATATCTAAATCTTAAAAAAATTAACTTAAAATGTAATAATGTGTAAACAAAGTACTGTAGTAGTTAAAATGCCTTTACCTGTGTCAATAATAAGAGTATACTTTTCTAAACTTTTAGGCGAGAAAGAAATCAGCCAAAGTATTGGAGATGGAGGAATTTGAAGAAGCTGAGAAAAAGCAGGTTAAGAAAGATCCCAGCAAGAAGAGTAAATCTCCAGTAGCACAGACAGGTCACGAGGTACAACAAACTGTCACTACCAACCTGCCAATACCAATTCTGAAGATAAAAGATATACCAACACTTCCAAAGGTTGAAACAGTATCACCACCTGGCAGTATCCATGTATCTCCGTCCCAGAAGTCGCCTGTTGCCGGATCTTCAAAGTCACCTATCATTGTGAAATCCCCAGACAACAAAGCAAGTGTTATAAAATTATTGCTGAGTTCTCCCACACAATCATCAAAACCAGCCTCATCTAACACTCCTATTGTTCAGAGTCCTCAAATGAAAGAAACAAAGACAAGTTCAAAGAAAACAAAAGCAAAATCGGTGACACCTGCTAAACAGGCATCATCAGATGATAAATCAAAGATAAGGCAAGTTCTTGAAATGTCAACAGGTGCGCCAGCCCCATCAAATATATCCATTATAAAACAAAGACTGAATGCTGGTCCAGATCCAACAATAGTTAAACCTGAACCAGGTGAAGTGGTAGTCGACAAGGCACAAGAGTTTGAAGAAATCACAGCTGTCCCTGTACCAATGATTCACAAAGAAACAAAGAGTAAAAGAGGGAGTAAAAAAGTTGCTGAAACTGATGAATCTCCATTCATGCCCCCGCCAGTACCTTCACCAAATGTTATACATGTAGGACCTATGAATATTGGCCTTGAGGTGAAACAAGAAACAGACTGCAAGAAAAAGAAAGGCAAGGTGAAAACTGAAGCAGAAATGGAAGAAGCAATGATCCATGAAGACTTTGGGCTAGACATGCCAGAAATCGAGCTAGGTGACTATATTTTTTGTTATTATGTTAATAGATGATAGTAACTTATAAATTACATAAAGTGGCTATTGTCTATGTGGTTATGTGGCTACTTTTTATCTGCCATATACATGTACATCATTAACTTGGTTTGTATATAAATTACTAAAAAGAGGGGAACATGATGTCCTTTAAGACAACTTATAGAATACAATTGCAATTCTTTTGTTAGATAAACAAGCATTCAGTTTGAAAAATTGATTTTCTATTTTCATTTATTATTTTTCATTGTTATTTTATAATTGAACTGCCATGACAAGAAACAAGGAGATACTGGTTATATCATACAGATCAGTTAAGCCTGCATTTCCTTTATTCAAAATGCTTTTCTTCATATATTTTAGTACCATGCCCCTGTAGCTCACAAATGATATGGAAAGCATTTATTTTACACTCCTAAATTTTAGTACTGTGTTCCCAGTAGTTCTCAAATGGCACGAAAATACATTTATTTTACAGTGATTGATTGGCTAATTTTCTTTGTTTATTTGACAGGTGAACCAGGAAATGATTCTTTTATAGAGATGGAAGAAGATGATGGTCTGATGATTCCAGAGGAAGAAGTTGTAACAACAGAGAAGAAAGGAGCAAAAGATGCAAAGAAAAAGACAGCAAAGGGGAAGAAAAAGCTCAGTTCTGTACAATTAGGAGATATTCCAAACACAGGTAAGCTGTCTTTTATAAGTTGAGTATCAAGGATGCTGTGTCCTGTCTCAATGTTGTATTGTTCCTTAGTAAAAAGATTTATATAATATATAAATAAACTTATATAAGTGGTTACTTGCACTGTTCCAGTCTGTAAGTGATTTTGTTTTGAGGTTTTAAGTTAAGTACAATAGACATTATTAAAGTAACATAACAGCACAGAACCTATTCCTATCATAACTGTGTCATATATTCTCAATGAAATTTTCATCCTTAATATTATAATAATTGCTATGTTGTCTTGGTTTACTATCAAGCACTGGGAATAGTTATGCCTACAGCTCTCATTTATCTAAGTCGCATAATAGTTGTATTGTAAAATGTTAACAGATGGTGAATTAGTGATGGATTTTGCCAGAATGAAATCAGATGACAAGAAGAAGAAAAAGGAGAAGCCTGCAAAAGAAGAATCAGAGGTACTTGATTATTTTTTATTTAAACAATACAGCTATATCGTGACTGTTTGTAATCAGTAGTGTATGGACAGATACCTGCTGGGTACCCTTAGTACTGGCAGTGCGGGGTATTAAGCATTGATATTTACATCTGACTACTATCAGGTATCAGATTAGGAACTTTTCCAGAGTGTTTATAATCCAAAATATAAAATCCCAGCTATTCCACTGGAAAGAGTAGGAAAATGTGTCAGAATTTGCATTTGATTGGTGTCTTATATATTTGATTGTTAAACTCATCCGTTAATTCTTTCCCTGATAAGCCAAATGTTTATTCTTCCCCTAATAAGCCAAATGTTTGTTTTGAAAAGTTGTATAAACCAGTAATTTAAATTATGTTTTGGTAGTTGTTATGTAAGCAAGTAATAGTACCTTATAGGGGCATATTGTTTGTATTTTTTAGGCAACCAAGAAAAAGAGAGCCCCAACAGCTTACATGTTATGGTGTACTGCTAACAGACAGCGCTTAGTGAACGATAATCCAGGCATAGGTTTGTAGTTTTATAATTACATACCCCTCCCCTAGGAAAAAAAAGTAAAAAAGATCATGTTTCCTTCATTCCCCCATTTTGTTAGTTTATTCATGTGTCTGTCCCACTTTGTTTTGGTTAATAAGTATCATTTGACTTTCATAGTATGATCACAAATTCACAATAATAAATAAGGAAACCTCTGTTGTTTCTGTGGCAAGAATGTAAAAGGTTATGGTCTCAGTGATATTTAAATTATTCAATGTTTCAATCATTTCCTGCCAATAAATAGTGTGCCATCTGTACCTTCTTGAAAGGATGATTGTCATTTATTAAGTATAGAGGACATATTTATGAAAGATTAAGATTTATGCATCTCTAATATTAAAACCCCGACTCTTTGCTGTTCAATCTCTTAAGTGTCATTACACCTACAGTTTTACAATTTATTATTCGTGTAGTTTTTATTATACAGAATTTAATGTAGATCCATTTATGTCTGGATTTGTTAACATTTATCTGATGTTTCTATAATGCTCTGATTTACTTATGTATTCTCATTTTGTAGATTTCTCAACCATCAGTAAAACATTGGGGGAGATGTGGTCTACATTATCTGAGAAGGATAAGATGGTATGTGTCTAATGTTAAAGTTCTCACTAGGCATTACTTAATGGTTCCATTTAAGTACATGTATAATGTAGGTATTGGATAGACAGTGCATTTATACTTTAATAATTTTTGGTATTTCTGTACCAAGATATATGTTAATAACTATAAATGTCATTTTCAGAGAAATGAAATTTTGATACTTTTATTGCAGACATTTATTGAAATCTAGAAAGTTATTGCTGAAAATGTCTGATTTGTGTTTAATGCATTAATGTTTTACAATTTAAATAATATTTGAAGGAAGAAACGGAACAAAATGAAACTTTAATGCTATAGATCTATATACTATGCTCGTATTTGGGTAAAATACATTTTTACATACATTGTACATTTGTTGAAGAAAATTTCTTACTGCATATGTATGATTTGAAGAATTGCAAAAACTAAATGTTTGGAAGCTGCATTCCCTATTATATATTTATATTTAGAAAAAGCAATATGTATTTCTTGTATCTACTGTTTCTGGGAATGGACAAGAAAAACTGTAATTAGTCCCCTACCGGTTTAACCGGAGGGGACTTTAGGTTTACCCTCCGTCTGTCCGTCTGTCTGTCCGTCCGTCAGTCCGTCCGTCCACAAAACTGGATCCCGCGATAACGCAAAAAGTACTGAAAATATTTTTATGAAACTTGATATATGGATAGATGGCAGTATGGAGATTATGCACGTCTTTTTTTTTCTTCCTATGTTGAAAATTCTGGTTGCTATGGCAACAAATAGTCTGAAAATATGGCAAATTTAACACATAAACTGGATCCAGTGATAACTCAAAAAGTACTGAAAATATTTTTATGAAACTTGAAATATGGGTAGATGGCAGTCTGGAGATTATGCACATCTTTTTCTTTTCTTCCTATGTTGAAAATTCTGGTTGCTATGGCAACAAATAGCCTGAATTTCAAGATTTCTGATTTAAATTTTTCAGCTTTTTCACTATATGTTCTTTATTTCTTAAGGTGTTTACTTCAAACTTTAAATATATGTTTCTGGTCATCAACCACATCATATGTGACAATGTTTATAACTCTAGCACAAAAAATATCAGTATTACCTCCCTTGAACTTAGATTTTTTAGGGGAAAAAATGTTGTCTTTTTTAAATAACTTCTTTATTTCCTAATGTATCTACTTCAAACTTCATATATATGTTTCTTATTATCACTCGACATTTTTGAGAAGGTTAAATACTCTAGCAAGACTATTTCCAGAATTAAATCCCCCTTGAACTTAGATTTTTTTCGAGAAACTGGTATTTTCACTCCAACTTCTTCATTCCTTATAGGATTTACTTTAAAATCCCACGTCGTAATAATATGACAAGGTTGTATAAACATAATTTCCTTACTAAGCATGGAAACTTAACACATTACTGTGATATAGACAAACTTATTTTATTATGTTTTGTGGTTGATATTTTCAAATACAGACTTCATTCTCAAATTCATTATAAATGGCAATACACAGGAGTGTATGACAATTAAAGAACTTTTTGAGGGACCGGTAGGGACTACTGTATTGCCCGCAATACTATCAAATGCTTGTTCATTTATGATTTACATATGAATATTTTCGTAATTTCCAGGTATGGAAGAGAAAAGCAAAGAAAGCAGCAGGAAAAGGGTCAACTCTGATCACAACTGGTAAAGCTAATGTACCAAAGATCCCAGGCTCACAGACCGTCACTACAGCCAGACAGATGGCTGTCATGTCACAGAAGAACGCTCCAACATTGGCTCAAGCTCTTCTTTCTGCTAAAAATGTTAAACAACAACCTATTGAAGATATGTCTACTCCTGTAAAGGTAGGTTTCAAGGAACCCCTTGGTTACATGGTTGCTTTAAGAGCTGTAGATTGACAACAGTTTGGGATAGAATCTAAACTACAAATTTGTCTTTGTTTTGTATTGTAGTAATTATAGTTTTGTAAGGTAGGGACTTAGAAAAATTTTTATAAAAAAAATTAAGCTTTATATCTGATGCCTGTAATAAGCAACATTATTGTTTTAATTCTGAAAAAGAATGATCCCAAAATATTTATATGAAAGAAATATGTTTGTATATATGTTTGGGCACTAAAGAGTTAAAATCCTACATAAAACGGCAAAATACTATTTTCATGTGGAACATTTTATTCTGTTTATGTACAATATTCATGTGTGTTAAATAACAGAGACATTCTAATATATGTTACAATTCTTTCAAAAAGGTAAGATTAAAGAAACATCATAATTTTATTTTTTCTCGTAAATTTTTTATAGAAAATATTTTATTTGATATGCACAAAATTGCTTTATAGTCTGTAAGTACTGTAATTGTTATTCTGTACAGCTTAGATTTCAAATATTTATTCTGTATTGCAGGGATTTGGAATGGAACCTGTTGACGTGGCTGCTCATTTGAAGATTGTTGGTGAATCTCTGAGTATTATTGGCATGAAGTTACAAGAACATCGGGTAACTATAGCGTTATGATTACATAGAGGATATTTGTTTAGTTCATTGGAAGATCGGAATATACATTGTATTTCACCTATTGAACATCAAAAGGTATATTTCACGAGTGGCACAGCCACTCATGAAATATGAACGTTTGGTGTTAATGAGGTGAAATATATTTTGATCAGCCACTAAACTAAACAAATTTTCTTTTTATTATATGCAAAGAAACATTTATAAAAGACATCCTTACCTAATTCTTAATGAAAATCGTGCTTAGTTTACTGTTATGCATATAGTTACTGTTCCGGAAATGAGCATGAAGGTAGTCTGAGGTCTTCCTCCACCAGTAAAGTTTGACATCAAACCTAGATTAAGTCTAAGTTCAAGTATATGTGAAATACATGAGATTAAATTTTTGATAATTTCATTAGCTGTAATAGATTTTAGTTATCTACTGGAAACTGTGTTATATAATTAACCCTTATCATGCCAACACCGAGATATCCTGGATTTCATGTCCTTACCACAGCAGCCAACACCGAAATATCACGGATTTGTTAGTAATCCAATACACAACAGGGAATACACTAATCAGCAATGTCATACTGATAAGAAATAATTACCAGTGAATGCAGGAGAAAATATCTTAATTGTTTCAGTAATCTTGGGTCAAGTTAAACATAAATTATCCAGAATGGTGCGAATGTTTTCAGTTTTATTCATTTGTAAAAAGTTCAGAGAAATGGCAGAAGGGCAAAATAGACAAATGCATGTGCAAGATGTCTTAGAACAATTGTTTGATGATGAAAATATGTATAATACTAGTTCTAAGTCTAGTGACACTGATAATTACTTTGATCAGTCAGAAAATGAGCAGGAATATATTGGGGATTTATTACATAATTTGCTTAATAATTTCGGTACATTTTTAGCTCGACTTTTCTATGAAAAGGGGAGCTATCCTACTCGCCCCGGCGTCGGCGTTGGCGTCACACCTTGGTTAAGTTTTTCGTACCACCCCACTTTATTTCAGAAGTATTACAAGTATGGCTTTGAAACTTACCATACTTGTTCACCATCATAACCTCCATCTACAGACAAGAGTACATAACTCTGTCAAGGTTTTTGACAGAATTATGGCCCTTTTTTGACTTAGGAAGTGTATTGAGCTTGGTTAAGTTTTTTGTACCACCTCACTTTATTTCAAAACCATTGGAGGTATTGCTTTGAAACTGACCATACTTGTTTACCATCACGACCTTCATCAACAGACAAGAGGACATAACTCTGTCAAGGTTTTTGACAGAATTATGCCCCTTTTTGACTTAGAAAATACATTGAATATGGGTAAAATCCACTTATTGCCTTAACCCTTTGAGATATTGCTTTGAAACTTTTAATGCTATTTCACATCATTACCCCCATCTGTACGCAAGAGAAGGTAACTCTGTCAAGGATTTGTTTTAAAAAATTAAGGCCTTTTATCGACTTAGAATCTTGGTTAAGTTTTTAGTACCAGTCCACTTTTTGACTGAACTGTTTGAGATATTAATTTGAAAGTTGGAATACTTGTTTACAATCATGATTCCCAAACATGTCCAGGAGAAGGTAATTCTGTCAAAGATTTTATTTGAATTATGGCCCTTAACTGTCAATGTTTTGTATTATAGGCAAGCACTAAAAAACTTAAAAAATCTAAAAAAATTCATTCCTATCCACTTGTTCACTTTACCATAAATTATGTCATATAAACATTGCTGTAATATTCAAGGGTATCAAACAACTAGTTCACTTTAAAAATACAGAGATTCTTGTATTGCCTTTTACTGCAAAAACTTTTTTTATTGGCAAGCAATAAAAAAGTCGAGCGCGCTGTCTTACGGACAGCTCTTGTTATATTTCTTATGATATTTGTAAGCAATTTATAAACTAAAACTCAATGAAATAAAATAAGTTTTATATTATTACGTAAACATTTTAATCTTCTTTCAAAAAATATATAGGTTTAAATATCAAATAATAATAATAAGGTAGAATAAGAGGTTTAAATCACCTAACCCCAATTAACCTTAACCCAGCTGCTGTTCACATAAATTAATTCGGCACTGCAGTAGTTAGCAGTGGTAGTTTACTCGGCATGATAAGGGTTAATAAAGCATAAATATGTTCATGTTCTTTTATATTACAGGGTCTGATTGCAGTCCAAGGGAGCTTATCCGTATTGTTAGACTCTATGCTGTGCACAGTTGCTCCCCTTATGTGTCTAACGTCAGTTTTACCAGAGACAAATGGCCTGCCTGCAGAAACTCACATGAAGAACTTGGACAATATTGCTTACATCATGCCAGGATTATGATGGAACAAATCACCCCACTACACATGTGTTCATTTTAGCTAAACTGTATCCCAATGCAGCTTCATGTTTATTGATAGGGAATACTCATGAATACAGTTTTACCTATTTAAAAGTTCAGGTGAAAAGGAGTTGACACAGTTTTGTGCTAGATGCAAAGAATGAGTATGGAATCTTGGAGGAAGAAGTTCAAAGGATATTGGTGGAATATTGACAACATTGATGTCTGCATACTGCACACCAAAACTTTCTCATTTATACTTTTTACAGTTGTTGTAACTTAGTGCAAAGTTATAAAAGTGATGGAAGACATTTGATGAAAATATTTTTACTATGGTCAGGTGTTAAAGATGATGATAAAGATGGTGATAGGTGGTGTTGATTATTGTACCAATTATTGTACCAAATAAAACAATGATTTAATCACTTAGATGTAAATAAAATTTACTAAGTTGAGATAGATAACAGGATGGGGTTTTGACAAAGTAACTAACAGTGTATTGACAGTAAGTTAATGTTCTACCCGCAATTTCTAATTATTCATAATACTATTTAATATTTAGTAAAGTATTTTTCATATGTAAGTCATGGGAAGATTACTGCTAAATAATTATAAATTAGGAGTACAAATTGTGTTTATAATCTTATTTTCAGGTCACTCAAAAAATATTTTAATCATTATTTTGATAGATTTTGAAATCATGAATATGATATACTTAAAGCAGCATGCCTTCAGGTTCATGCTAATTTTCATGAAAATTTTGAAAACGTTTTAAAGTGAAATATTGTGAAATGAACAAAGAAAATAATTTTTACTTTGCAAACGGCATTTTTTATTTTGATTTAGATCTGTGTAAATTTCCAAAAAGAGGTCAAAATATGCAAAAATACTCCTTACTGCATTTGTCCCTCAGTAGAAATATGGTGATAGATACTGCAAAATCAGTCATCAATCGCACATGACATATAAATTTTAACATGAATCTTTATATCTGTTTACTTTTGCTAAAATCCTATGCAAAAAAAAATAAAAAAATTTGATTTTCTATATTTTTCTATATTTTGGTTCATCTGGAGGAATGCAGCTTTAAGATATTTGTGTAATGGAACAAATTTCTTATAAAATTTTGGGTGTTAGTTAGTTTTTTTTTCTCAGCTTGTACTTTCTTTTTTACAATGTTTTACGCAATTGTTACTGATAGAAATGTTAGTGATTTTGTTATGACTTATTGAAATACTGTACATTTGTCATTTATCAATGTCATTCAAGTAAAATAAAACTTTCAAAGAATGTGGAATGGCTTTCATTTACTGTCTCAATATTTGCACATATTTATGATTTAAGTACTTGAAAACTTCTTGATACTTATTTCCTTGTTGATTCAATAGACATTATTAGTAGAGTGAAGAGAGATATTTAATTGTTACTGCCTGCATCCATCGTTTCTTTCAGAACCTGGTTACGGCCGCAAGAATTTCACAATTCAATTTATAATTTTATTTTTATGGTAGTGGTACATGAAAGCTACTGTCTGGACTACTTAGCACAGATTTAAGCAGAACTTTATAATTATGCATGAAAACAATGTTTAATTGTGAAACATCCACAGATGTGTTCTAAAGGCTGTGATCACAGAAGTGAGAACCTTCAATAACACTTTCCATTCATTCTAAGAACAGCGGCATATAGCCCACAGTTTTTGTCTTAATTGAGCATACAACAGGCACTTAATAAAATAACATTTTGAAAGGAGGAGCAAAGAATATGAAGACTGGGTATCGTAGACGATTTGAAAGGCATGCAACATATCATAAGGGTGATTAAACTGCATGAATACTGGAACCACCCAACTAGCAGGAAGTTTAATTCATTAAGATAATATATTTTTGAGCCTTTGAGAAACATATAAGTAAAGCATATATTAGCTGCAATCATAGGTAAACATACTAATATTTATTGTCAGAAATAGTTTTTATTTAAAACATTTATTTGGTATGGCCAATATGACCAGTGATGTGTCGGTGTTCTGCTAACTCCAACATTTCAAACAGAACTGAAACACAGACAATTTGTGGTGAATAGCCTCCTGTGAAACCTATATAACTGACGTCTATATATATCTTATAATTTTGCATGCGTGTCACTGTGTACTCTACTGGTCGGAGACCATCAACCGGACACTTTTGGAACATTTTTCCGTACAGATATCATAATTTTTAACCTAGAGACCAAAAAATTTGACACAGTTCAGCTAGGTTCTTCTCCTAACAAACAAACTAGTTTGTTTATTTCTGATTGTATTGACACTTATATCTGAGGCTCGACAAGGAGGGTATCAAATTTACCTAAATTGTCTACACTACAGTACCATGTGCCCGGACAGATATGTACATGATGTGATTTAATTCAGATAAAAGCTTGGGTGTTTTGGTTTTTGATTTGTAACATGATATACAATATGTCAGCAACAAATGCTGAAGTTTTGGATATTCTATTATTCACTCTGCAAATGATTATAGCTGGTATATGAGGTCAGGCATTGCTTTCTTGACCCCCGAATTTCAACGTCAACATTCTTGAAATAGACATTAAAATATTACCATTTACGGAGGTTGAAATAATTTTATTTACTTAATTTTAAAAGAAACATGCACTTATTGTTGATAAAAAAGTGACTGACAACCACTGAACAAAGAAAATACTAAATTAAGCATTTTCGGGACCGTCCGGGTTTGGTGGTTGTCCGGTTTTGGTGGTCCCCAACCAGTAGCGTTGAAAGATGTCAATCATTGATAACAACAATTTTTAGTGTGCGACAGACTATTTCTCGCAATCCGTACAAAAGTTAGAAATTTACTGTCACACCGCCCGGTCAAAATGGCGGAAGCAAGTGGAGAAAACAGTGAATTTGAGCCTTCTGTTCGAAATATCATAGACCAGACATCTTTAAAATGGGTATTTGTTGGTGGAAAAGGAGGAGTTGGAAAAACTACTTCAAGGTTTGTTCATATTTGTCAAAAATCAACAGTAACATCCCTCAAGTAACTTGATTTGTGTTGAAAATTTAACATTTGATATTTTGACAGAAATCACACGTCAGCATAGTCAGATATTCTATCTTGAGATTTGGTTTGTTTAAACTGTGCTTTGTCATTCTATACATTTATATACATTGATTAAACTAAATTAAATAAAAGGTTGAATTTACATTATTTGAAAAAGAATATTGAAGTGTTGAAATATTTAGTGTAACTGTTCAAAACTTCGACAAAGGATAAAATTATAGAATTAAGCAACATATGTATGTGATTTTAACATATTTTATTGCCAAAAATAAGACATATACATACATGTCATGTAGACAGTTACAATACAATGACATGACATATTTGGCAAAAGGGTTGACCCACAAGTTCTCTCAACATTAGCAACGGGTCTTCCCTATGTATGTGATTGATGTCTGAACATATTCTGACTTGTTCCAAGTACTTGTGCATTAACACGGGTTTTCCAGTTGAATAATGTTTGTATGAATTATGGCCCTTGAGTGAAAAAGGCATTTTGGCCTGTTAATGATTTTTGTGTTGCCTGCTTGACAGTCAAAGGGGGTTGTAACGGTGCCAGTTCTCTATATTAGGGTCAGTTGTGACCAAAACTAGGTTCAGCCCCCCAAAAAAACATGTGACAACCCTTATATATACAGAAAAGGGTTCCAAACTATGGAACCCTAATCTATACATAAAGGTTGTCATATGTTTTTTGGTCTGGACCTAGTTTTGGTCACAACTGACCCTAATATATAGAGTCCATGAACCATAACCTTTGTTCACAGTAGTCCAATATATCTGATGTTACGGGCTTGTAAAAGTTTGTCTGTCAAGCTTCTCAGTAGCTGATACATGCTACAAAGTTACAATGACTATATTAAGGGTCACTTCTATGTCTTCTGTCCATCAGTCACAAAACTAAAATGGAATTCTTGAAAAATTACAGGATTGATCAATACCTCAATTACTTGCATATAATAAAATTTAAATACTTGCATATAATAAAATTTAAATGGATTTTCCAGTTTATTTTTGGCTGAGTTATAGCAGAAAACAAAAATGTTTTGGCCTGTTTATGGTTTTTGTATTCCCTGCTACACAGTCCTAGCTTCAAAGCTACAAAGTAGCCGAGACACATGTGTATAAGGAACAAACAGAAACTGATCAATCACCCATTTATACAACTGCTCAGTTTTGGCCTGAACATATTTATAAATTCAAACTTATTATGCAACTAGTCACACATTATTAGAAACCTATTATGAAGTGTTTGAGGTATAAACTGTATTATTTGTTTAATATTTTTAAATTCTCTTACAGTTGCAGTCTGGCAGTTCTGCTATCAAAAGTTCGGGAAACTGTCCTCATCATATCCACAGATCCAGCACACAATATTTCTGATGCCTTCAATCAAAAATTTTCAAAAGTTCCCACACTTGTTAAGGGGTTTAAGAACCTCTATGCAATGGTAGGTAATTTTTACAACTAGGTTGCAGTTATATGTCAAGGGAACATACCATTTTTTCTGGGTTTTTTGTTTGTTTTTTGGTTTTTTTGTTTGTACTAAAGCCCAATGGACTGAATAGAAAAAAGGGAGAGTTAAATTTAGATAACAGCATAATAGTTTCACCATGAATAAAAAAAATCCATGTTATTGTTAAAAGAAGATTCAGATGCCAAATTATTCATATAATTCTTTCTATATTTTAAAAAAGAAAAAAAATGATATTATTGAACTGTTTTGTTTTACAGGAAATTGATCCAAACCTTGGTGTTTCAGAGCTTCCAGATGAATACTTTGAGCAAGGTAAATACTATTTTTATCTAATTTTAGTCAGCTATTCTCAGTCTTATGTCAATACGCTGTTCTTATAACACTTATGACAAACACAAAGTCAAACACACAATTAAAACATCCCATTGAGAATTTTTACATTATTAAATAGGAGATAGATAGCTTAATAGATAAAAATATTCAGACTGGAAGAAATTTTCTTTTTTCTTTTCAATGTTTTATATTCCAATGTTTTATTTACATTACTTTTAAAGACAGCTCTGTTCTGATCTGCCTATAGATTCTATTGTGTTGCCAGCTGTAGTTACACCATATAGGGATCACTTTTCTCTTGTCTGTTACAAAACTGGTCTGGATTCCTCAAAAATAACTGGTGCGATTTCATCCAAACTCTACAGGAATAACCAGTACCAAGTTTAGTTGTGCATATCTCATACATTTTCCTGGGAATATTTTAGATAATTTTTTAAAGTTTTGTCCAGTATAGTTCTCTTAAATTACTAATTTAATGCAATTTGAGTGAAACTTTTCAGGATTGTTCAGTACTTCAAGTTCTCGCCAATTTTTAATGAGTTTTCTGGTTGTATGATTTTTGACTGAGATATGGCCCTTGAATAAAAAGGGTTTTGGTCTGTTTAAGATTTTCATGTCTCCTGCTACACAGAAGCTGCAACATGCTACAAAGTAGCCACAACTTATAGGAAACAAACTGTCCATTCCCCCTCAATTCAACTGCTTAATTGGCTGTTATCAGACGACTTATGTGTTCACTGATCGCTCCTGTTTTAAATTGCATTATAGCAATAAAAATAAGTTTTTGATTATGCAATCATCTTCACATATCAAAATAAGCATAGTTAAAATTTATTTCACTTGATTTTATAAAGTGTCAATAAAGACTATGATGTTGATGTAAACTGTCTCCCCTGGGCTTTTAATAATGTGTATATTTATTAACCAGGTAAAGGAAGTGATGTTATAAAACCACAAATTATATCTGTAGATAAATAGGATAGCCTCTGGCATAAAAAAAATATTTATTATTATTTTTGATGAAAAAATCAATGATAGAGTGAAATAAACAGGAAGAGATAATCATACAAATGTATCTATTTTCACAAGGCTTTTTTAAACCATTTACAAGTCATGAAAATGCAATTCAAACACTTGATATTAAGTCTTTTTCAAATGTAGCTTCAAATACTGTAATAGTATATGTAGGAATTCAGATTGTTATAATAAAGTTATATTGGTTGATAACAGAATTTATTTTGTTATTTTCTACTGTCAAACTCTGAGAATAGTCAAGCACACTGTCCTACTCACATCTATTGTTCTTTTTTGTTGTTCTTTATTATATGCTTTAATTGCAGTGTCAAAATGCAAAACTTCTTTTCAGATTATTATACAATTTTTTTAAGTGTTGCTTTTTTTTCATTTTTAGACATGATGAGTATGGGTAAACAAGTTGCTACAGAACTTCTTGGTGCCTTCCCAGGTATAGATGAAGCCATGAGCTTTGCTGAAGTTATGAAGTAAGTTTATATCAGCAATTTATCATGCTGTATTATGATATAGAAATAGAAACATATTAAGAGTTTAAGAAATGCACTGGTTTTCTTTTTTGGGTCATTTTATAAAGATTTATACAGAATGTTGATATATTTACTCAGATGACTGCTCATACCTGATATAATGCTAGGAAAGGTACAATGGATCTGCCTCCACTAGTGAAGTTTAATAACTCAATATGACCGTAACAGTGCCAGTATGACTTAAAGATGAACCAAAACAATTAACATCAATTGAGTTTATCCTTTAACATTGATGTATATTTTGAAATAGGAATATTGTTAGAATTATATTGCATATGTAGTAATAATATTGAAAAAGTTTAAGAAATTAATTTATTCAGGGTGTTTGTCATTGTTTGATACAAATATGCAACTGATGTACAAGATATATTTAATTAAATTGTTACTGTTTCAGACTAGTCAAGAGTATGAACTTTTCTGTGGTAGTGTTTGACACCGCACCAACAGGTCACACTTTACGACTTCTGTCATTTCCTACAGTCGCTGAGAAAGGTCTCGGTAAATTATTGAGACTCAAGAATCAAGTGGGACCAGTAATTTCACAGGTAATGATAATTAATTGTCAATACTTTACATATTCTGAAAAGAAATAATAGTCTTATTGAAAACATAACAATTCATTACAGAACATAGAAAATCTGTTTTATAAAAGGAAATATTATGGCTGTTTTTGTAGTAGATATCTGATTGTTTAGTAAATTTGATAAGATTTTGTTAAGAGTAAAGTGCTATGCCAATTTGCCAGATGATGTGAACATGTATTGTAGAAATAATTATAACAATTTGCATTTGTTGTTCATTTTTGTGAGTACTTTATTATTAAAATCGTCAATAAGCTGTTCAAATATCAAAGTAAATTAAATAAAAATTGAAAATGTCCTTTTGCCTATTGTTCCTTATTTAATGGAGTGTATCTCAATTTCAATATGCAGTATATATATATATATAGAAATAAATGTGATACATGGATAATTTTTGAAAATAGTCATCTATATGCGATATATATAGTAATCAGTGTAATATAAATGGATAAACTTTGAAAATAGTCATTTATAAATGAGGCAAAGCTATATTCATTCTTGGCAGATTGTCTTTCCCCTTGTAGAACAAATTTAGAATTACAAAAGTAATAAATATGTATACTCTAAATCTGTATTTTTGGTGCTACTCTGTTACCGACATACTGTCAGTATTTTGTCATACAAAATATGACTTATTAAATTCATCAATGAAATTCAATGCAGACAAATAATAACATGAAGTACTATGATAATAATGCGTCCCATGCTATATATGTATTACAGATGGCAGGAATGATGGGAATGCAGGACATGAATGCAGAGGATATGTCAGGGAAGTTAGATGATATGATGGCTACTATAAGACAAGTTAATGAACAATTTAAGAATGCTGTAAGTACTTTCATAGTATTCCATGCTACATTGTATTTCTTTAGTTTAAGAATAGAACAATTTGAAATGAGTGGAACAAGTGTGTGAACAAAAATGCCACATAATTATTGATAACACATGCATATTGCTGCTACATGTGAATTTAGATCAAACTACCCCCTCATGAAAATTATTAAGTGCACAAATGAAGTGATTAAAACCAGCCTTACACACTGATTATCCACAGAATTTAGTTACATACAAAAAATTGCCTTTACTCAGTTTAAAATGCAAAAAAGAATGGTATAAATTTTTATTTATTTACAGAAAGCATGTTTACAGTATAATTGTTTTTATTATTATCCCACGCCGAAAGGCGGTGGGGGATATAGAAATAGTCTTTGTCTGTCCGTCCATCCGTCCGTCCATCCGAGCAATCATTTTGGGTTTAGGGGCTGTATAACAGTAAAGAGAACAAAAGAGAACAATAGGTTCATTCCGTAATCAAAGGGTTTAGGGGCTAGTAGCCCTTAAGAAAACAAAGAAAAGAACAAAGAAAATAGCCCCTAAAGCCAAAATGTTGAAACGTCCGTCCGTCCTTCTGTCCGACATTTTTGTCCGGTGCATATCTCAAAAAGTATTTGAGGTATCAACTTGAAATTTCATAGGTGGATAGACCTCATTGAGGAGGATTGTAGTGCACAAGAAAGATAACTCTACCCTGCCTAATTTTTGAGTTATTACCCTTTGTTATTTTTCAAAATTAATTTTTGTCCAGAGCATAACTCAAAAAGCCTTTGCGATATCAACATGAAACTTCATAGTTGGATAGATCTCACTCAGGAGGAGGTGTGCAGTGCACAAGAATGACAACTCTACCTTTCATAATTTTTGAGTTATTGTCCTTTGTTATTTTTCATACTTAATTTTTCACCTGAGTGGAGCATAACTCAAAAAGTGTTTGAGATGTCAACATGAAATGTCATAGGTGGTTAGATCTTATTGAGGAGGAATGCTGTGTGCAAGAATGATAACTCTTCCCTATATAATTTTTGAGCCAAAGCCCTTTGTTCTTTTTCATACTATTTTGTCAAAAAGTGTTTGAGGTATCAACTTGAAACTTCATAGGTGGATAGACCTCATTGAGGAGGAGTGCAGTGCACAAGATTGATAACTCTACCCTGCATAATGTTTGAGTTACTGCCCTTTGTTATTTTTCAAAATTAATTTTTGTCCAGAGCATAACTCAAAAAGCCTTTGAGATATTAACATGAAACTTCATAGTTGGATAGATCTCACTCAGGAGGTGTGCAGTACACAAGAATGACAACTCTGCCTTTCATAATTTTTGAGTTATTGCTCTTTGTTATTTTCAGCCATCAGTATTCACATAGGTTTCAAATCTGTAATCACTTCAGCCATCAGTTTTCATTATCAAAAGACCTCTTAAAATTGAATTATTCTGCTCTACTACATATACATTATTCCAATGAGCAAACACATTCGGCGAGGGATGGCCATGTTAACATGGCTCTAGTTTACTATTAGAATTGTTGACCATTTACTTACATACAAAAAATTGCTTTTACTCAGTTTAAAATGCAAAAAAGAATGGTATAAATTTTTATTTATTTACAGAAAGCATGTTTACAGTATAGTTGTTTTTATTATTTACTATTAGAATTGTTGACCATTATATACATGTTCCTTCTGTGGACTTTCTGCCAAAGTGGTAATTAGTTCCAAGTAGTCATTAACACAGTTTGATCATATGAGCCGTGTCACGACAAAATCAACATAATGGGTTTGCGACCAGCATGGATCCAGACCAGCCTGCGCATTCGCGCAGTCTGATCAGGATCCATGCTGTTCGCTATCAGTTTCTCCACTTGTTATAGGGTTTGTAAGCGAACAGCATGGATCCTGATCAGACTGCGCGGATGCGCAGGCTGGTCTGGATCCATGTTGGTCGCAAACCCATTATGTTTGTTTTGTCGTGACGCGGCTCATATGTTATTACAAAATTTAATGATCATTGCTATTTATAAATTTCAAAATAGCCAGCAGTAAATTGGTTTGTGATTTTAAAGCAGTGTTATTCACTATGCCTCGGTAAAAGTAGCTAGCAGTAAATACTGCAGTATCTTGTGACGTAGCCCAGCCACATGGGCTTATCAAGAGCACTGAATAATGAAACATTTCTCTAATTTACAGGATCAGACAACATTTGTATGTGTTTGTATAGCAGAGTTTCTATCATTGTATGAAACAGAAAGACTTGTTCAACAACTAATGCAGTTTGGTATAGACACTCATAATATTGTAGTTAACCAGTTACATTTCCTTGCCAAGGGAGACAAACCATGTAAACTGTGTGCATCCAGGCATCGTATTCAGGCAAAATATCTTGATCAAGTAGGTCTTTTAGAATTTGTTTAAATACATGAAATACATACTTAATTGTACATTAACATGAGTAACATTCTCTTACTTAATAATACATTTATTTACCCTTCAGATACACAAAGAATTGTTGAGTTTTATAGCAATAAATGAAAAACGAATTATCATTTCTTAATTAAAGCTAGACTTTATAACCTAAGAGACACAAAAAGAATTGTATGACAGTAAATAAAAATCATCTTTTAAGCTCTATGAATTCAGTTTAGCTTTACTTTTTGTTTTAATAAAAATGATGCAATGAAATCAAATTTGTAGCAAAGAGTAAAAAAAAATATAAATAAATGCAGAATATTTACGTTTTTAATGATAAGTAATTTGTATTTTTTCTGATAAAATTACTGGCATTTATTAATGTAATAGCATTTTATTGTATCTATTTAAATAACATTACATTGTACTATCTATTTTTAACATTCTATAAATAAATTTATACATTCCATTTATAACTTTTTACTTTTATAAATAGATTTTGGTTTTCTATCAATAGATTGCCGACCTGTATGAAGATTTCCATGTGACAAAGTTGCCTTTGCAAGAAGATGAAGTCCGAGGAGTTGAAAAAATAAAAGAATTTTCCGAGCATCTTCTGAAACCTTATAATCCCGACGAGACATGATGTTGGTTGTGATAACATAATGTTTAGCATTACTGGAGTTTTATTTTGTGTATTAAATTATTATTTTATAGTAAATTGCTTCAGATACCATCCTGAAAATAATCATGGCTATATGAATGGCATTAGTTTGTAATTTGTGGCCTAGAAAAAATTCTCTTTAGCTGACTATTGAAAGAATAGTGGGGCTATTCTATTAACAATTTCTCATTTGATTTCAAGTTTCATACATGTGTGTTCTAAGCTTAAGAAGGGTCCATTTGCCCTTTCAGGCAATGACAGTACGGACCTCATGGTTCGTACTTTTTTTCAGGGTTGTATTTGTAGGTCTGTAAGCAAGACCCATAACTCTAGCATGGAATTTTACTAAATTATTTCCTATTGTGAATATCTTGTTGTTCAAGCTCTCTGTCCTATGTTAGGACATTTGTATTGTACAGTATTTACAACAATTTGTACTGTAAACCATTAAAATTAAGCATTTATCTATAAGCCTATTATAAAATTCTTCTGTTTTGACAATGTTCTAAATTTTATGATCATATTTATGAAATTAAATAATTATTAAATTTTGTATTAATTTATTGTTTGTATCTGTTTGAAAACTATGATGTTTTCATACCATGGTAAATGCATGTGGAAAATTTATGGTTTAAGTTTAAAATGTATTTATTTATGTATGGAAATCCCCCAAACTAAAATGAACTATTCCTTAATTTAAAGAGGGCAAGTCCATTACACAAGTACAGTAGGGGAATGATAGGACTTTATTTACAATATGTGTTCAGTTATGTAAAAATGTTCATGAACATGCCCCTTTATGATGTTTTCTTGATATATTGTAGATTGTATTTTTAGCAAACAAGTGTGAAGAGATTTATTTTAGCATATGTTGAAAGCTTCAAGATTTTTTTGGATCTTTCTATCATGATCTTCCTAGAACTAACTAGTGGTGATGTCAGATCAAATAATGTTATGTTACTTTAAACATTTATTTATGGTCAGTTGTAAAAAAAAAAAACTCATGTAATTAAAATAAATCACTTTATACTCTTATTTCTTAGAACAAACCAGTACTGATGTCATTTATGAAATCTTGGTGTAACGAAAGTAATGCTCGAATCCATGATTCCTAGGTTGAGAGGTAGATACCTGAGCCATTTGGCCATTGTGCCCCTTAAGAAGCATTAAATTAGACTCAATTTAGTTTAGTTATGAAAACAAACTGTTGTACTACAAAACCATTTAATATATGTTAAATTTTTATCATACATTTATAGAAATATTCATTTTTTCTTTGTTACAATTTCATGTTTTAGGTAAAAATTAAATTCTTTTAATGTGTAAAGTGCTGAAAATTATTCGTAAATATTTTATTTTTTCAGTAAAATGAAATTATGTACATGAGCTATTGCATTGTGTATAATTCAGTAGTTGATTGGTTTTTATTGACCAAAAGGTTGTTTTCTTTGAAGATATAATAATAAAGTTGATAAACAATATCTTTGTTTTCTGTTATCATTATGTTATAATAACCTTTGAACAATATCTTGCTTCTTGTAAAACGTACATTGTACATTTGAATTTTTTAGCATAAGCTATAAAATGAATTGGAATATGTTTGGTGTAGAGGGTAGCATTCAGAATGACAGATTTTTCTGTGACTCATATTTGCAATGTAGTTACATTAACCTTTATTTGCATTATAGACACCCGGAGTTGCAAGACCCTTGAAAGGATTTTGTGGAGTTAAGTTTAAGTTTTTACTATACACATACATGTATAAGGAAAATCAGACCCCCCTAGCGGGGCCAATTTAACACTGGGGCTTTTATTTGAACAAATTTGGTGGACACTTACTAGAAGATGTTTCATGCCAAATATTTAAGCTCTAGCTCTTTCGGTTTTTTAAAAGAAGATTTTTTAAGTTTTTACAATATACATGTAAGGAAAATCAATGACCCCCGGGGCGGGCCAAAATTGACCCCAGGGCTTTTATTTGAACAACCTTGATAGACACTCACTAGATGTTTTGTGCCAAATATCTTAGCTCTACATCTGGGTTTTTTAAAAGAAGATATTTTAAGTTTTTTCTTTTGGTTGCCATGGCAACCAGAGTTCTGCCTGGAATTAAATTCTTTGAACAATTTTTAAAGGTGACCACCAATGGACCATTCCTGTGAAGTTTTGATGAAATTTGCTTAGTGGTTTATGAGGAGATGTCATTTAAAGTAAAAGTTTACGGACAACTGATGAACGGACACCGGACGAAAAGTGATAACAAAAGCTCACCTTTGTGACAGGTGAGCTTAAAGCAATAATGAAAATTTTCAAAGGGCAACAAGTCTAAAAATATCCAAGAGTCATAGTTCTTGGGCACTACATTGCTTAATGTAACTACATTTGAAGTGATAGGTTTTTTAACTATAACAGTTTTAAGTGAAAGTGTGAAGAACTGTTATGCCGAATGGAAATCAATGACCAAGAAGGATAATAAAACTCCCAACATCATGGCATGGCAAGAACTTTTTGCAGACCCATTGCTAAACAACTTCAAGTAACTGAGGTTTACTTTTGAAAACAGAATAGGGGTAATGCTGTATTTTCGGGATGGGCGTTATAGTTTTGACCCCGTTACAATGTGGTTTTGAGACGTAGGAACCCAACATAAGCACATTAATGGGATTGCAGTGTAGAATGAATAATGAAGAAACATCTGCTGTGTAATAAATATATTTGGTCTAATCATTTTTGTGTATAACAATACAAAAACATGTCGCAACAACTTAAACACATATGGTTTAAGATATATACAATGTCAAACACACATAATACATGATCATATCTACAACACATCTACTAACAAGGTATGTGGCACTTCATCGTTGTAAAGATTTAGATACAGAGAAGCTATATTATAATATACAGTCAAACCTTGTCACGAAAACCCTTTAGTTGAAAAAGAGAAAAATGGTGGTCTTTTTTGAAAAAAAAGGTCTTTCAAAGCAAGTAAAATTGTTTAATAGGTGGGATTTGTAAATAAAATTGCACATCAAAGTATAAGCGTTAGATATGTGACATAATGAACAAATCAATTGTAACATTGGCCTCCAGCGTCCTCTAACACGCCAAAAGGTTTGGTAGATAGCAGGGGCAATGACTTGTGTTTTACATTCCAGCTGTCCAATCACTTAATCATTGCAAGGTAAATGTTATAGCTAAAGCGGTGAGAGGGATGGGTGTTTCTCATTTGAGCCGTATCATGACAAAACCAACATAATGGGTTTGCGACCAGCATGGATCCAGACCAGCCTGCGCATCCGCGCAGTCTGAACAGGATCCATGCTGTTCGCTATCAGTTTCTCTACTTGTTATAGGGGTTATAAGTGAACAGCATGGATCCTGATCAGACTGCGCGGATGCGCAGGCTGGTCTGGATCCATGCTGGTCGCAAACCCACTATGTTGGTTTTGTCGTGTCACGGCTCATTTGATTGTTCCCTTAAGGTAAAGATTATACAAGAGCTTTCCTTGTCCAAAATCTTTTTTATATTATCAGGGTTTGGGGGCTAATGTTACAAATGACATGTGTATACAACACAAAGGTTAGACTGTATATTGTACTAAAATTTTACAGAGACAATGTAAGTTTAGGACATATTTATCCTGTATAAATGTAACAAAGTAAAATGAACAAATATAGCATGGTAACATGTAATTATCTACCAGACTAATATGAACACATGTAACACTCAAGTTTTTAAAAAAAAATTCAATGAGACACAAGCTGGTAAATGGATTCTACATTACTATTTGCCACTATACATATATTATTTGCAATTGTACAATACTGTTTGGGAGTTGACATTATTTTTTGGGAGTTTACATTATTATACAAGATTGTACAATACTGTTTGGGAGTTGACATTATTATTTGGGAGTTTACATTATTATACAAGATTGTACAATACTGTTTTGGGAGTTGACATTACTATTTGGGAGTTTACATTATTATACAAGATTGCACAATACTGTTTACATTACTAATTTGGAGTGTACATTACTATTTGGGAGTTTACATTATTATACAATATTGTACAATACTATCTGGGAGTTAACATTACTGTTGGACAGTTAACATAACTATTACTACATTTTAGTATATAGCCTAATTAGAAATTGAATTCTAAACTACAATCAGAGAGTTAACATAGCTATTTCTGATTCAATACTTTTACAATACCTTTTAGAATTCATTATTAATATTTGGACAGCAGAAGGAATGGTTCAGTTTTAAGCAGAAAGTCCTAGACAAAACATTATGCCATGTTTTCAAGCAAAAGTGCAACTTTACAGGATATCTTGCATGTATGAAAAATAATTTAAACTTTCTTATAATAATTTCTTGTTTTTCTGAATTTTAAGCCAATTTTATCACATTTTTTAACCTGGTATTCCTGTATATCTAACCAGTAATGTTACCAATTTCTCCACGAGTGAGACTACTAACACCACATGATATGTGAATCAGCGATGAGAGACAAATAACCACTAGATTCAATGTCATTGGTACTTCTTTAAAACAACGTAAACAAAAATATTTTAAACATATTAAAAGCTACATACCAGTACTAAATATTAAAAAGAAATGAAAAGAGTACTGATACTAACTTGATTTTGAACATGTCAATTTGTAACAACTAAGAAATATTAAAAAAAATAATAGGAACACAGTAATATAACATAATGATGTGAACAAAAAATAAAATGTTTCAAACACCATCTTAGCATTAATCAAAACTCCCCCCAACATCAACAATCCCCCCAAATGGCCCCTTTCTTTTTCAAAGTTACAAACAAATATGACTTTAAAGTTTACCAAACCTTAGAAAGCCACTTCCTCACATTTCTGAAATAAAATTTTCCTTTCTCTGATATTGATATACATGTAATAAGTTTTTACTTTACTGAGACTAGATTTACTTAAAAGAAATTTTTGTAATAGGTAACATGATACTGAAATAGCTTTTTTTCATCTTTGTCCAAGATAATAATGATAAATAACATTGCATTCTTTAATGAAATATTGTTTATACCTGGTATAATTGCAGTTTACTCTCTAAAAATTGACAGATTGTGGCAATATTAAAGTGACAAGTAGATTTTTTTTCTTAAATATTGATTAAATACGGAAACAGTGACCACTCGTTTTTTCTTTAATATTAATTTTACATTATCATGGAAACAAAACGTTTTGTTTTTGTAAAACATTGCAAATTCTGCACAGAAATGAAAATGGCTATACCTTGATGCTTAATGTCAATCCTTATCAAGCTTTTCTAGAATTTGTCTGAAGTATTTTTTTCTCCCATAAATTGTCACAATCATGATTTAGCATCATATACATTATATACATGCATGTAATTTTTCAATATGAAATGAATTGTAAGAACATGTCAACAAATAAAAAATCATCTGACTCTTAATGCAAAGAAGTAACTTTACACTATGGCAAGTATCAAATAAAACATGATTTACAGCAAAAATAAATATGGAATTCTAAATTCTTTTTTTTATTATTAAAAAAAGTGTCACATATTCTGTAACAATATTCAACTAATTTCTTAGGGAATATCAACACTTCTGGTAATGAAAGAAAAACAACCAAATCTTTATTTCAAAAAAAGAAACTTGACAATTTTATGCTTTGGTATCTTTTGCCAAAAATTTGTTTTAAAAAAATCAACTTTATATGACAATTAATATAATGGCATTTTTAAAAAGCAAATATATACAAAAATACCAAGATTTTGATAACAAAAGTAAAGCATACCACTTAAAGCATTTTACAATAAAATATAAGTAGCAGCACAAATGGCGACAATATCTTATAATTATTTTACATGTCATTTGTCTTTATTTCATATACTTTTGACATATTGAAACAAATACACACCTGCCATAAGAAATCTGTGTAGAACATTTTGTTGGTAAATTTATAATCATAAAATGTCATTAACTTCAACATATAATTTTGGAAATTTCCCAGGGCAATTATAATAAGACACATACATTCTGAATAAAAAACTTAATAATTGTATATTGTGACAAGTGACATTGTTTTTTTTATAAAGCCTGTTGAGCCAAGATGATTAAAAAAAAATGGAACAATAAAACTTATAGAACTTATAAGTCAAAAAAATATATACCATTTAGATTAGGGACTGTGAAGCATGTTGCCAGTGTAAAACAACCATCAAAATCTTTATTTTCCCTGTTCCAGACAGGTAAGTACAAAATTTAGAAAAATGAAAATAATGGACATTTTTTTTCTTCTAAAAGTTTGTTACATATAAACTCAAGCTATACCATAAACCAAATAAACAAAAACAAAACATTTCCACACCATACTGACCCCACTTCTTATGAAAATCAACATGGGACGTCAATATGAATACAAAAAGTAATGTGTGAAATGATAAAAATAATCATAAATATTATCACACATAGTTATTTTCTGAAAGAAAAACTAAACAAAAACAAAAATACTTTGAAAATAGATGCCATAATAATTAAAAGTGCGCTTTAGAAGCCATTGCCTGAACACTCACATGTAAATTCCTTGTATTGAAAAATCAAACATACATACAATTTTTATAATATAAGATGCCATGAACCTTCGTTGTAAAAATCTTAATAAACCACCATGTCACCATTTACTGCTTTATTGGTGGCAGCAAATTACATGTAAGCTCCTTACGTTGCGTTATTTAAGGCAAGACCAGGCACTTTGATACAATGAATGACATATAGTCAGCAACATGAAATTTTTTTTTTTAAAAGAATTCAATGTTTGTTCACTATTTTTCATAAAAAATAGCTTGCCCAAAAAATGAACAAGAGGGCCATGATGGCCCTGAGGTCGCTCACCTGTATATAGGCCCCCCCACCCCCGGGCCAATTTTTACCCAAGGGCTTTTATTTGTTTATTTGAACAGACTTGGTAGACACCCATAAGAAGATGTTTCATGCTAAACATCTAAGTTCTAGCTCATTGGGTTTTTTAAAAGAAGATTTTTAAAGTTTTTACTATACACATATAGTTAAAACAATGACACCCCTGGGGCAGGGCCAGTTTTGACCCCCGGGCTTTTATTTGAACAAACTTTGTAGATATTAACTTAAAGATGTTTCATGCTTAATATCTTAACTCTAGCTATTTGGGTTTTTTCAAAGAAGATTTTCAAGTTTTTGCTATACACATATAAGGCAAATCAATGAGGCCCCCCCCCCCCTCCGGGCGGGGCCAGTTTTGACCCCCAGGGCTTTTATTTGAACATACTTGGTAGACACCCATAAGAACATGTTTCATGCTAAATATCTTAGCTCTAGCTCTTTGAGTTCTTTAAAAGAAGATTTTTTAAGTTTTTACTATATGCATATAGGGAAAATCAATAACCCCCTGGGGCGAGCCAATTTTGACCCCAGGGCTTTTATTTGAACAAACTTGGTAGACACTCATTAGAAGATGTTTCATGCTAAATATCTTAGCTCTAGCTCTTTGGGTTCTTTAAAAGAAGATTTTTTAAGTTTTTACTATATGCATATAGGGAAAATCTATGACCCCCTGGGGCGAGGTCAATTTTGACCCCAGGGCTTTTATTTGAACAAACTTGGTAGACATTCACTAGAAGATGTTTCATGCCAAATATCTAAGCTCTAGCTCTTATGGTTCTTTAAAAGAAGATTTTTTAAGTTTTTACTATATGCATATAGGGAAAATCAATGACCCCCCCGGGCCAGGGCCAATTTTGACCACAGGGCTTTAATTTGAACAAACTTGGTAGACACTCACTAGAAAATGTTTCATGCTTAATATCTTAGCTCTAGCTCTTTGGGTTCTTTAAAAGAAGATTTTTTAATTTTTTACTATATGCATAAAGGGAAAATCAATGACCCCCTGGGGCGGGGCCAATTTTGACCCAAAGGGCTTTTATTTGAACAAACTTGGTAGACATTCACTAGAAGATGTTTCATGCTTAATATCTAAACTCTAGCTCTTACGGTTCTTTAAAAGAAGATTTTTTAAGTTTTTACTATATGCATATAGGGAAAATCAATGACCCCCCGGGGCGGGGCCAATTTTGACCCCAGGGCTTTTATTTGAATAAACTTGGTAGACACTCACTAGAAGATGTTTCATGCCAAATATCTTAGCTCTAGCTCTTTGGGTTCTTTAAGAGAAGATTTTTTAAGTTTTTACTATATGCATATAGGGAAAATCAATGACCCCCTGGGGCGGGCCAATTTTGACCCCAGGGCTTTTATTTGAACAAACTTGGTAGACACTCACTAGAAGATGTTTCATGCCAAATATCTAAGCTCTAGCTCTTAGGTTTGTTTAATAGAAGATATTTAAAGATTTTTCTTTCGGTTGCCATGGCAACCAGAGTTCTGCATGGAATTAAATTCTTTGAACAATTTTTAAAGGTGACCACCAAAGGAACATTCCTGTGAAGTTTGGATGAAATTGGCTCAGTGGTTTATGAGGAGATGTCATTTAAAGCAAAAGTTTACGGACGGACGACGGACAGACGACAGACGGACGGATGCCGGACGAAAAGCGATCACAAAAGCTCACCCTGTCACTTTGTGACAGGTGAGCTAAAAATCAAAACTCTTGTAAAATCATATCTCTTAAATACTATTTTAAGGCCACTGTAGTTATAAATCTATAGCACAATTCATTATCAATACTTTAATGTATTACACATATTACACATTCTTAATTATTATCTTGTAACTAAATATATTACACTTTACTTTTATATCTTAACTATCTTAATGAATTTAATATTCAATAATCTAATGTATACATGATTTATCTAATTTAATCAATTTTCATTAACTTCATATACTATAGTATTCATCTTAATGAATCAATATTCAAAAACTTAGGATTTTTAACTATTCATGAATTAATGACCAATTATTTAAAAACTTTGAATACTGAACTATTCATCGTAATGAATTAATATTCAAAGTCTACACCCTTTCTGAAACGTAAATGGACATGATCAATAGAAAACATATGATTCTTAGTAATGAGTGACTTACACACTAAACAGGTGGATATTCAATGTAGATCAATCTTTGATGATAATAAACAGAGCAAAAACATTGTACCATTTACATTGTATAATATTTATCAATAAAATAATTAATAGAAACTGTGTTGTTCAAAAATATTTAAATAGCACTGATAGACAAATACAAACTTTGGCATACACTTTAAACACACTTTGGATAACATTTATATTGCATAGTATATCACAAACATATGTTCATAAAAATGCAAAATGTTTTTCTTCATTTTATAAAAAAATAAGACAGGTGGTTGGCTTAAATTTATAATGTATCAAAATAATTTCATTAAAACCTAATTAAGTGAATTGTGCTGCCTTAGAAACAAATAAACGTTATACTATTTATAAACATTATAACTTCAAAATCTTTGTTGAATGTTCATTCGAAAGTGTAATACATCTGAATTTTATTCAAAACCAGGAAAACAGAATATTTCAATATATCCAAAAAATATTTTCATCTGCCATATTAATGTGAAGGCTTATAAAATGACTAGTGACTTTAACCACACAAGCAATAATTATCTTTGCATATTATCTCTATAAATTATGATTTTGTAAAGAGAAAAAATAACATCCCCAGTTTTGTGTTTAATAAATTTGGGACTGTACAAAATAAAGCAATATTCAATAACACAATTGGGTATTGCACTAGCATATTAAAATGTTAATGACCTTGAATGTTCTCATGAAATTATGGAAATAACAAGCTGTAAATTGGTCATTAAAGCATGCATGTTTCTAAAGACTCTCAGAAACAACTAAATTGGCTACTGAAACATGAACATATCTAAAGACTCAAGAAACAACTAAATTAGTTATTGGCTACATACTCCCATAAACAACTAAATTGGTTATTGGAGTATGAATGTTTCTACTGACTTACAGAAACAACTAAATTGGTTATTGGAGTATGAATGTTTCTACTGACTTACAGAAACAACTAAATTGGTTATTGGAGTATGAATGTTTCTACTGACTTACAGAAACAACTAAATTGGTTATTGGAGTATGAATGTTTCTACTGACTTACAGAAACAACTAAATTGGTTATTGGAGTATGAATGTTTCTACTGACTTACAGAAACAACTAAATTGGTTATTGGAGTATGAATGTTTCTACTGACTTACAGAAACAACTAAATTGGTTATTGGAGTATGAATGTTTCTACTGACTTACAGAAACAACTAAATTGGTTATTGGAGTATGAATGTTTCTACTGACTTACAGAAACAACTAAATTGGTTATTGAAACATAAATGTTTCTAAAGTCTCACAGAAACAACTAAATTGCTTATTGGAGTATGAATGTTTCTACTCACTTACAGGAACAACTATATTTGTTATTGAAACATAAATGTTTCTATAGACTCAAAGATATAACATGCACCAAAAGTTAAATATTTAACACTTTTGTCTCTATTCACTAATAAGATGAAATCAAAATCTAAATATAACACTGGCATATCTTTATGACTCTTATAGATAAACTTAACCAAAAAATGCAATGAACCAAAAAACACTTGTAAAATCCTGGTTGATACAGTCAATATAAAAAACATTAATATAATCTCCACAATAAGCATAAAGGATTTCATTCAAGTTCCCTCTTTCTTCTGTTCTTTACTTTCAAGGTCAATTGGAGGGATATCTGCAGGTTTAAATTCTCTGAAAAAAAGAGGAAAAATGAGTCATTGTTTTTTAACACTACCATGCCAAACCATTTTTACTGAGTCCAAAAAGCAGCACGGGTAAGTGTTAATATGAATATAGAATATTTATCAAAAAATCTAATGCATATGAACATCATCCAAAAATGTCTGAATACTCACAACTTAGCATTATATTTCTATGGTTTAAGAAATCATTAGCAGACTTATCAGAACAAGTAGTACTAAAACTAATCATGTTGTACTTGAACTGTTCAGCTTAACCAATTGTTTAAGAGCCATTTGCCCCTGTATGCACCATTTCAATGGACAATTGAGTAGAATCAACAACCTTCCCAAAGCTAGCTGGGTATCTTTCTTATACATGTATTTACTGATTGACAAAGACTTCAGATGCCCCTATGTGCATCATTTGTGGCAGCAATGGGCATGTTGGTAAAAATCTCCACATTTCCACAAGCTACCTGGATAGCTTTCTGACATTTAAAAGATCAAACATCCCTCTTTGGATTTTAATACAGAGCAGTGAGAGGTTAACAATTGTAAATTAATATGGTAGATATAAAAAAAACAATTGTGTAGTTAAATATATAGCTTACGCATAAGGTGAGGCTGGAGCACCAATAATGACTAGATGTTTGCCCTTTAAATACTGGCGCCACATACTCTGAAAATATTGTACATACATATAATACACATGTATACATACACAGACTTATTATACAGTATATTATTAATAATTTATGTTAGAATTTCATATCTTAGATTTTAGTTACTTAAATAATGAAACTACTTAAACATAAAGCTTAATTTTCTAAATAAACTAAAGACTAACTGTAAACCTTTTATACAATAAATGCATGCATGACAGAAAACACTAACATAATCATATGAGACTTTTTTTTTTACAAATAGAATGTCTTTGATCTTATTTTATGATGAGGAATTCATCACAACAGACGAAATCATTTTAATATTCAATCAACATTCCTCATTACTATTTAATTAATAAACCTTAGGGTGACGTTACCTTATGGAAACCTCTGACATCTAAATCCCAGAGTTTGTAACACTGAAAATCAAAACAAAAAAGGTTAAAAAAGGTTTAACAGTTCATAGATTGTTATATCATTTTTTCAATGTATGAAAATCAACAGTAAATATTGAAAGAATTTTTAGCTTTTGAAAAGATGAGAGAGGGATAACATGACTTATTTGAAGATGAAAGAAGTCAAGAGGCCATCATTCAACACAGATGTGGTGCCAGGTAGAAATGATGATCTTCTGCAAGCATAATTAATGGCTTTCTCACATTTTTCAAAACCAAGTGGCCAGCATCTCGAAGTTAATACCTCTAAATACCATATTTTGGCACATTTCTTAGGAGGTCTACTTGATAACCTATTTTAAATAAATCAAATCTTCACTTTTAAATATGACAGATTTTGTACTTACTTTAGCTATCTGTTTCCATGTCTCAAAATCAACTGCATCTTTCATGTGTATATACATTACATAGGTTTCTATCTGAAATGTTTAAAAGGAACTGACATATGTATCATGAAGTGTTGTTAAAATTAATGTACATGTATAAAAAAAACCTTATTATTAATTTTATTCAAGTGGATTCAGGTGACCCCTTGGGCTGGTCAAATTTTGTCCCCAGGCATATGATTTAGCTAACTTTTGTAGAGGTTTTTGTGGTGCTAAATACCAAATATCTATGCTCTGGGCATTGTTGTTTTGGAGAAGCCTTTTATTAGGCATGCTTATTATACAGGTCTACATTATCTTAGCTAAAGATACTTCAGCGAACAGGTTTTATAGTACTGCTACTGTCGCAACATCAAAATAAAAGCGACATATAAAGTTATGGAAGCCAGAACTAACATTATCTAAGTGACTCCTTGAGCAGGACCATGTTGACCAATAGGGTCATAATTTACAAAGGTCCACAAGACAATGCCATATGCAAAATAGCTTAGCTCTAGGCATAGTAGTTTCACGTAAGATTTCATTTACTTTTCCCCTTTATATAAACTTATATATAAACTAAGTGACCCATAAAGATTTTATTTAAAAAATCTATTTTTAGCTCTTGTAACCTACTTATGCATCAGACTACACAATTTTTGTAGAGGGCCACCAGAAGATGATTTCTGTGAAGTTTAGAAGAAGGTTTACAGAAATTGTGGATAATGATGGACAAAAGCCATTATGCTAATAGTATATCAAAAGCTCACATCTGCGTATTTTATCAGATAACTGATATGTTTTTTATGTGTACTGTATATAGCATTTTGTGTACTTTACCTCTGTGTTTTGTGGTATAAAATCATCAGCACAAGGATTTTTGGAATGATCTAATACTGTGGCACTTTTTATTAATTCTTTAATTAACACTTCATATTTCTCATTTGTCATCCTGTATGGTAAAAAAGAAAATTTCTTTCTTTTGATTTTTTATCATTAACTGTTTATATTAACTTAAAGCTAAGCATGAATTGAGATCACATGACTGATATGCTATATATGCATGTTTTTTTTTTTTTTTTTTTTTAATTTTCAAATCCTGGCTATGAATTTAAACAAATCTCTGAATAGATTAATCCTGTACCCAAATACATGTACCATATCAGTGCCCACTGCTTCACTTTATACCATATGATTTATTTAGAGTTTCTAAATTTTTAAAATTAAATTTTTCATTTTACGCCTTTTCCCAACAGTATTTCAGTCATATAGGCGGGAAGTTTCCTAACCATCATTCCTGGAAAGTTACACCAGTTCTAGACTACCTTCCTCTGTGCTAAACTACCAAAGCATCTCCCAGGGATCGAACCCTCCCCAGAGAGGTAACTGGATTAGAAGTCATCGACTGTAACCCCTCGACCACAGAGGCGGTCAAAATGTACAAGTCATTTTAGGATAATCAGTACAAAATGTTCACATGATTATTCACGAGTTCAAATTTTTAAGTTGTGCCTTGTCATTTTTTACCATTCAAGTGCTGAAATCAATCAATCAATCATGAATTGGCTGTCAACTTTCCGACCAGCCTGCTAATCTATGTAGTCTAACATGGCCCTATACTGTTGCCTCCTCAATTTTAATATTTTAATATTAAAATCTCTTTAAGCAGACTGTTCCAAAGTTCAGACAGGAAATGTCCAATAATGGTATGAGTCATATAACAGCTTCTTAACAAAATATTTCATGGGTTAATAAGTTCATGGCTACATTTAAAATCACCTGCATTTAGAATCAAAAGAAACATAAGACTTATATCAATGAAAAAAAAACATACCTATCCACATCTTTTAACTTGACATTTGGTTTTGCCAATAATTTATGTGATTGAAAATAAAGTTCTTGAAAATATGGATTAATGTTGAGGCCCTTGGAGCCAAAATGATATGTGCGTGAAATATCTGGAATAATACACTCTCGAGATTTACGTATAGCATCATGTCTCATCCACATGTCCCAGTCCCATCGCTGAAATATTCAATAATCTTTATTGGACTTTTTTTCAAGAAAAGTTATTTATAAGCAACATAATTTTAAACATATTTTAAGTATCAGTTATTTTCCCTTGTATTCCTTGATTCTATATCAGCACTATCATAGTTTTTCAACATAAAATATGTAAATTTACGGCCATGTTGCTTAAATCACAGATATAGGCCATTTTTCTAAATATATATAAAAAAATAATTATAACAAGAAATGCTATTCCGATGACTGAACAGCACAATTAAAAAATTAATTTCCAATACATTTGACAGCTTAAAGCGTTATATTTCAGCTTTATAGCTTTGAATTTATTATGACTGAAATAAAACAAACTAAAGCTAAATTTAAATAAATATTCAGCTAAAAGCAATTATATAAGCAAACAGTCTGTTCCTAGAAAGCAATTTTGCCATTCTTGGTCAATAAACTGGTTAATTTCATTCAATTAGTGCAATATCTTTCAACTGAACAATTGATGGCAATTAATCATCCGTGACAATCATAATGCTAAACAGTGAAACTAGCATTCTTTATTAATACATGTACAGCTTTTTTACACTGTGTCATGAATTGACCGTTATTCTGAGTTGCTGCTGAAACTTCAATTTTCCTGAATATTTTATTCATCTGTTCGTAGCCAAAACTGTTTAATCTTTAATAACACTACATTTATTTATTTTCAGTAATTATCAACCATCTATGCAAAGCATAAAATTCAAGAAATTTCGTTTAGAAATCAGCTAACTAAGAATCTTTACATATCAAGTTACATTTAAATATTAAATTAATCAAACTTTCAACTCCTAACCTTATCTGGACCAGGCCACTGGGGTTCAAGCTCATCTTTAAACAATGATTTTTTCATCATCCAGCCGAGTCCCGGCATCGTCTCTATTCTATACAACAGTGCTGGATCCTGGCACGAATGTTCATAACCCTAACATACACAAAATAATATGAGTATGATTTTTCAGAAATTAAAACATGTTACATTTGTTGGGCTTCAAGCTTTAATACAATTTGTATCTTTCCAGTTGTTCTGGTAAGAGACTAGAGTAGAAACAAGAAATATTCCATATACTATATTCTGTCTAAGCAGATTCTTCAATCTTCACTTATCAGGATTTAATATCAACAGATTGTTACAGACCAACAGACCAGAGTAGAAATCATAAACCTTCAATTAACTGTCTAGATAGATTATTCACATCAAAATTTATGACAATGGAATGTTACTTTGCTACAGCCCCGTGATGAATAATAATGATTTTGCAGAACTGGTTATAAGCAAGTGGTTTTAAGTCGGTGACCTTACAAACAGTTGGTCTATAAAAATCTCAGATATATCTAAAATCTTTCTAACACAGAGCCTGAATGATGAGTGAATGTTTTCCTTTGCTGCAAATTCCTCTGTAACCAGACTATTATATGACACACATTGTAAATCATGGCATTATTTTATTCAAAGTCAAAGTCAAAAAACATTTAATTCTCTCATTCCATGTACAAACATGACATAATGGAGTAATAAACATGAATAAAGTATAATGAGGCTCAAATAGCAGTTAATTAACATACTAGCGAAAAATATAATTGAATTGTGCTTCCAGTTTTTAAGTACGTGGAGAGCCAAAACTGTTGTGTAAATATATATTACTAAAACATATTAAATAATAAAGAAAGCTAGTATTACATTCAAAGGTATTGTTTCATTTTTCTCGTCACACGCACACACGCACACACACACACACACACACACATGTATACTTTCTATTTCAACAATGTGTAGTATTAAATTGACGATTTCTGCTCAATAGTCGTAACGACAATCAATATTTTTAACGTAAATGAATATACTACAAAAATTTAAGTAAAACATGCGAATCATTTTTAGGGTATAAATGGAGAAGTTCTTTTTTTAACAATAACAAAAGGTATGGTATAGAGATGCGAATGGTTAGATGGGGGTGATAACAAAAAAGGCTTTGCACGTAGATGTTGTTGCATTTACTTCCCTTTAGTTAAAGTGTTAGATAATATTCAAGTTTTTAGTTATGCAGAGTTGAATTTGAATATGATCTAGAAAAACTTTCTGATCGGCGGGAACTGGGTCTCCGTCTACTCTATCGTGGACCTAACTCAATCAGAGCACGACCTGGGGCATGGAAGCTCCAATAAGGTCTTCCTGCGATGAAACGCGCCCCAGGCCGTGCCAGGTGCACTCCTGTCCCTCGACTTCCCAATGGCGGTCGGGGGACAGGAGTACCCCCGACTTCACGGCGAGTCCTATACAAAGGTATCGGAGGCCACAGTTCCCACACAATCTTACAATATTTAATTAGCGAAAAGCTATATCATAGGCCCAAAGAGGAAAAAAATAGTTCTTTTGTATAATGTAGATAGTAATAACACATTTTCATATAGTGAAAAATAGCATTAGATATTGAGATACGAAAGTGGAGTTAATTAGTATTTCTAAACCTAGACAACTTCTTCTAGCCTTTCCTTTAGAAAAATCAAAGATCTGTGGTCTAGTTGAAATGCGGAATACTATAAATGTGTGCCACTAGGTCTCCCAAAACGAAACAGAGACTTTGCAGCACTTTTGATAAATTCGAAGAAAAAAAAAGTTATATTATAATTATTACATAGTGGTCAATGCCTTAAATTCTACTTAGTATACACTTAAACAAATTTACCTAATTTGAGACGTTCTTGTTTATTGTTAGTATTCATTAATTCAGATGTTTTGATTATATTTGGTCTTGTAAAATAATAAGGTTTTAAGAAGCGTTTACGCTCATTTTCAAAGATTTTGCATTCGAATAAGAAATGAAATTCGTCGCCTAATTTATTACATGACGTACATAGTCTATCATTTAATTGAATTCTTGCCCAGTTTCGATTTCTAATCGGAAGATGCATGGTTTCGAGTACGAAATCGTATCAATGAATATAGATTGCTGACTTTGGCAAGGATAAAAATGATTCTCTTTCAAATTTGCATTTAAAAAGTTTATAGAAGCTAGGCCTTAGAAAGAGTTTTCTACATTAGCATACCATTCGTTAATAAACAGATCTTTTAATTTTTGTCGTACTGAAAGTTTTAGCATTTACTGTTTGGGAAATGATGGTTCGTCCATAATATGTATCATTCCACATTTTGATAAAAATGTCTTTAATATTATAAAACCAAGGATATTTTCTTTTCAATGATTCATTGCCCAATGTTTTAGCTATGTTAACTACATTTTTGTAAACTACTGAAGATAATTTATTTGGCAATGTATCTGGACTAACATTACATATTCTTGACCAAAATGCGATAGTTTTCTCTTCAATATCTATAGAGAGAGGTGTACAACTTCCTATGAAGTTTAAAATTGATAATAAATTTGTTAATACACTATACCTGATCATTCCAAGCTGAAATACAATACAAAGATTGGTCCTCATCTAACAAATGTTTGGTCTGATAGAAATAACTGAAATAAAAAATCAAACAAGATTCAATCTTTCATGAGTAATGTTTTGAGTGGCAAAGAAAATAAAGTGATAGTACAAAGCTTTATCTTATAATTGTAGGTAAATATAAATGTTGGTGCTGAAAACCATTTAGTTTGTTTGACAAGCATTGAACATTTCAACTGAATTTTTGTTAGACCAAATTAATTAACTGTGGTCAGGTTTTATGTCTCACAAACATGGTAAAGAATAAATTGCAGCTTTCTAGCTTTATTGATCAAGAAAGATCGTGTCTGCTCCTCTGAAAGAGGAAAACTGTGAAGAACCTCATTTCTTTTGTAAACCAGTCGGAGAGTTTTATAACCAACGTCCCTGGCAGGATTCTAACTTACAGCACTAAGGCATGAGTGATAAGACCTTAACCCTCCACCAAAGAGGCCATAGCCCAACTGAATTAATTAACTATTATCTATTGACTCAAAAACTACATACTTGAAGAAATCAGGTGAGACATCAAGATCCTCTTCTAAAATTATCACATATTCTGCATCCTGTTTAAACAACAAAATGAAATGTTATCTAAAAACAAACCATATTAAAACAATAATCAGCTGCCTATATAGCACCATGTTAGCAAGCAAATTAGAGCTAAATTCTATACCATCAACAATCAAGTCTTAACTCTTGACCTGCTAATTTTGTATTAATTAATGTAAAAAAAATGTTATTGGGGTTCTTTCCTCTCAAGGGAAATCCTTAAGACCTAGGAACCCAAAGGATAATAAAGTCGCTTTCTTCATTTCATGATAATCACATCCAACTTTTTATGCCTTTAAGACAATAGACTAATTTGTAAAGATACAACATCTACTGACGGGAATAAAAAACAACAACAACTTACAGGATGAAAATTAAATGTTGCAGTGAGACTAGCTTTATAATGTTGCGAGATTCTAGCATTTTTCTCTCCCTGGGGTTCATGATGAACACCTTTTACATTCAGCAACCGTGTTACTTCTAATGGCTCCTGAAAAAAAGTTTTATAACATATAACTATAAAGGTTCAAATATTGTGGCAAGCATCAAATCGTACAATGTGAGCTATTTCTTTAAATGTAGAGCGAAAAATTCCAACATGTTCAATTCAATTTGCTTTTTCACAAAACAAATCAACAATAGCCCAGGTGTATTAAGTCCATGTTCCAAAACATTCAATTTGTGTTTTATAAAATCGTGTATGGTGAAACTATTTTCCACCACATCAGTTTTCCTTGAAAACTTAAACAAAAATTATTCACTTCCCCTCAAGTGACAAACAACTTATCCCCATCTAATTTCAGGATCAGCGAGAGAGATGAATGATAAGAGGCAATGTCCCGAGGTCATATGTCATGAAGAAAATTCACAATGCTCAAGAATTGAACCTGCAACCTCTGTAATACTAATCCAATGCTCTTTCATTTGAGCTAAACCGGCAGACTAGTTAAAGTGACATGTTGGGTAGGTACAACAAAATGTAAACATCTTAAAGCACTGTCATTTTTGTAGGACTTTTGCAACACCACCAATATAGAATTTACCAAATATTTTTTTACATAAAACAAGCAACTTACATCATGAATTCCATCAATGAACACAATAATTTTATCAGCTTGAACACCAGGGGTCTGTAAAAGTTTTTTTAAAGTTCTGAAAATATAGATATAAACAAAACTACATTGGTATATATTACTGTTCAATAAAAGTGCTTAAAACAACTTTTGATAATGTTTACTTGTCCAGACTGGCTCAAATAATATAAACTACAAGTATCTAATATCATTTAGTGTTACCCAATTATCTGAAGTACTTGTTTTGAAGGAAATGTAGGATTGGTCAGGCAACTTTTTCAACTTTACTGATGGAGGAAGATCTCGGTAGTCTCCCCTTGAATTAAATCATACACAAACCTACACCTACATCCAGCTGTTGAAAATAAGCTAAATAGTTTCAACACACTTTGGCTAGATAGAGGATAAGGAAATTCCAACCCAAGGAAGATCGCTTCCATCAGAACCAAGCCTTGGTGTAGGAATACGTAAAGAGGTATTGCGCATGGAGTGTTAGATAAGACCATGTGAGATAATTTTTTCCAGCACTATTATTTTCAGTAACATTAAAGGCTATCTGGTTAATGAGAAAAAATAAACCCCAAAGTCACTGGTTGAGTTTTGACCCTTGTATAGCAGTAGCGGGCAAGTAATTCAAAACTCAGTTACTCTGATAACTCAGGCATGAAGGTCCAAAAATAACTTGATAATATAGAATTACCTAAATAAATAATGTGGTCTATCACTGGCAATAACAATCAGTGGTACATCTAACACATTGCCATTCTCTAACTGAAACAAAAAAAGAATTAAATAACAAATTCATGCTTGAAAAAAGTGACATCTCAACGAAATGTCCATCCAAGTATAAATGATGTACAGGATAAAAGTAAAAAAAAAATAACGTTCTATAACAAATTGTTTTCAATTTTATTTTCCTACTTTGGATAGGGATACGGACAAAAGCCCCCCCCCGACGAAAGCCCCCCCCCCCATCTAAAAATGACATGGTGGACAAAAGCCCCCCCATGAATTTTTCCACATAGACAAAAGCCCCCCCCATAAAAAGTAAAGGTAGGACAAAAGCCCCCCCCCCCAATGGTCCATCACATTTACATTTAGTGTCAATGAAATTAATATCTGCCTTTTTTCAATTAATTTGGTTATTTCATCATCCACCAGAACAGAGTGAAGGCTCTTTGTCAGCAGTTTGACAAGGGTGAGAAGACTATGGCACAATTTCTGTATGCCATGTCACAATGTATCATTTTGAACAAATTAACAAAATAAACAATTTTATTGAAAAAACATGTTTTCTATTTGTTAATTAAATATATATAACAAAATAACCAAATTAATTGAACAAGAGGGCCATGATGGCCCTGAGGTCGCTCACCTGTATATAGCCCCCCCCCTCCACCCATAAGAAGATGTTTCATGCTAAACATCTAAGCTCTAGCTCATTGGGCTTTTTAAAAGAAGATTTTTTTAAGTTTTTACTATACACATATAGTTAAAAACAATGACACCCCTGGGGCGGGGCCGGTTTTGACCCCAGGGCTTTTATTTGAACAAACTTTGTAGACACTCACTAGAAGATGTTTCATGCTTAATATCTAAACTCTAGCTATTTGGGTTTTTTCAAAGAAGATTTTTTAAATTTTTGCTATACACATATAAGGAAAATCAATGACCCCCGGGGCGGGGCCAATTTTGACCCCAGGGCTTTTATTTGAACAAACTTGGTAGACACTCATTAGAACATGTTTCATGCTAAATATCTTAGCTCTAGCTCTTTGAGTTCTTTAAAAGAAGATTTTTTAAGTTTTTACTATATGCATATAGGGAAAATCAATGACCCCCTGGGGCGGGGCCAATTTTGACCCCAGGGCTTTTATTTGAACAAACTTGGTAGACACCCATTAGAAGATGTTTCTTGCTTAACATCTAAGCTCTTGCTCATTGGGCTTTTTAAAAGAAGATTTTTTAAAGTTTTTACTATACACATATAGTTAAAAACAATGACACCCCTGGGGTGGGGCCGGTTTTAAACCCAGGGTTTTTATTTGAACAAACTTTGTAGGCACTTACTAGAAGATGTTTCATGCTTAATATCATAACTCTAGCTATTGGGTTTTTTCAAAGAAGATTTTAAGTTTTGGCTATACACATATAAGGAAAATCAATGACCCCCGGGGCGGGCCAATTTTGACCCCAGGTCTTTTATTTGAACAAACTTTGTAGACACTCACTAGAAGATGTTTCATGCTTTATATCTAAACTCTAGCTATTTTGGTTTTTTCAAAGAATTTTTTTTAAGTTTTTGCTATACACATATAAGGAAAATCAATGACCCCCGGGGCGGGGGCAATTTTAACCCAAGGGCTTTTATTTGAACAAACTTGGTAGACACCTATTAGAACATGTTTGATGCTAAATATCTAAGCTCTAGCTCTTTGAGTTTTTTAAAAGAAGATTTTTTAAGTTTTTACTATATGCATATAGGGAAAATCAATGACCCCCTGGGGCGGGGCCAATTTTGACCCCAGGGCTTTTATTTGAACAAACTTGGTAGACACTCATTAGAACATGTTTCATGCTAAATATCTTAGCTCTAGCTCTTTGGGTTCTTTAAAAGAAGAATTTTTAAGTTTTTACTATATGCATATAGGGAAAATCAATGACCCCCTGGGGCGGGGCCAATTTTGACCCCAGGGCTTTTATTTGAACAAACTTGGTAGACACTCACTAGAAGATGTTTCATGCCAAATATCTAAGCTCTAGCTCTTAGGGTTTTTTAAAAGAAGATATTTAAAGTTTTTTCTTTCGGTTGCCATGGCAACCAGAGTTCTGCATGGAATTAAATTCTTTGAACAATTTTTAAAGGTGACCACCAAAGGAACATTCCTGTGAAGTTTGGATGAAATTGGCCTAGTGGTTTATGAGGAGATGTCATTTAAAGTAAAAGTTTACGGACGACGGACGCCGGACGAAAAGCGATCACAAAAGCTCACCCTGTCACTTTGTGACAGGTGAGCTAAAAAGGCAGATATTAATTCATTGACACTAAATGTAAATGTGATGGACCATGGGGGGGCTTTTCCTACCTTTACTTTTTTTATGGGGGGGGCTTTATGCTATGTGGAAATTCATGGGGGGGGGCTTTTGTCCACCTTGTCATTTTTAGATGGGGGGCTTTTTGTCCGGGGGGGCTTTTGTCCTACACTCCTTTGGATAAGTTATTAATTACACACTTAATTTCGAAATGTATTTGTAATGTTCTGCCCTTGAAATAAGTATGATTTTCAAATTCAAGAGCAGATAACTTGAAAATGAGATGTCACCTACCCTCCCCCCCTCCCCATATCACACACACACACCTTTCCAATTTGTTTTTACGATTTAAATAAATTCTATTATACAGTTTTCATTCTTTGCCTTTCCATGTATGCCTAAATATAAATTTAGCATATGCCTTTGAACTACATAAACTACTCACAGGTACAGGTGGAAATTCCAGTTGTTGTGGATTATCACAGTCACACACTGTACCATAACCTTCATATATATCACAGAATCTTTCACGTCTTGTAGACATTGCATCCGTTGGCCATGATTTACATTTAGTATCTGAAGGAAGCATGTGAAAGGTAGGAAATGACAGATTCATAGCTTCTCTTTTTGTATTTAACAACACACTGACACACTGCAGGTCATACTGGGCCATAAAGTTTTGCATTCTTTCATGTACTTATCTAAGGAAAAGCTATTAATTTTGTCTTAGCTTTAGCAACCTTGACCTAAGCAAAATTGCGCTCTTGAAGCAATAATGGTGAAAGATTTCAAATATAAACGTGCTGTACTCTACATGTATAGTAGAAATACTGTGATTAGAACTTCGATTAGTCGATTTTCTGAATGTGTCAAAGTAAAATGAAAGTCCCGATTTTTCCCCTTATATATTCCTTATATAAACATATATATGAGTCAAAATTTTATTTGCCATTTTATTTTATGTGTAAAGATTTTTTTGTGGTCCTTACAGAATAAATCAAGTACAATTTACAACAAATAAATTGAAGTTCTTCGATCTCAAAAAAAAAATTCACACCTTTTCTGACCACAAAGATGATTTCAGATCAACTTTTGTGACACGTGTTAATTACAAAGCCACGAGTTCTAACAGCCTTTATATGTGTTCACATGTGTGTTAAAATGCTTTAATTGTTACCATTCAAATTGCAATAGTGAATTTGAAAGTAAACAGTAAGAACTACTTTCTTTTGAGAACTATTGTGACCCGGTGTTGTGTGATAATCACAACGGATACATTTACTATATGCTGGTTTAGTAATTATTCTTTCCTTTTATTACGCCTTTTGTAACTTGCTTGTTAACGTCAATGTATTGAGACTGTTTCACAAGTCAAAGTCCTGATGTGTCGAAGTTTTTACGCAAGTCCCTTCAACTTTGACTTAAAGAAATTCTTCTGTATATTCAACAAATAATCTTCACAAGTCACCACAATCTAAACCAGTTATCAATAATCAAACTACAGATAAAAGAAATTGAAGTCATCTTTCAAAAGACATACCAGCTTTATTGCCATACTCTTATTTGATAACCAGTTCTTTTTTAATTGAAAATCTTCAATAGAAAACAGTTAAAACTCACCTTTACCAGGGACTAAATCAACAGTAACAGATAATGAGACAGGCTCCCCCCATTGATCAATACCTGGAGATCTTGAAAACATCTCCCCTAAACCTTTCCCTGAAAATATAAAAATAAAGTTGTATCCTATAATTAAGAAAAAGCTCAATCAAACTGAGCCTGCAACATTTTCAATTTTGCTGTTTTGTGCTTTCTTTAAGGATTCTATTTATATCTATTTTCAGAATTAGAGTTACTCACTGACAGAGAAATATACCAATACGATCATGAAGACTGAAATAAATGTCTGGAGATTAGATTTAGTGGTCATTTGCCAGTCTCCATTTTAGATTTGCTTTCTACTGTGATAGTTTGCTTATAACAATAAGATTTTTAAGATTGCATTTTGTGCTTATATGGCAATAAGGTTTTTGATTTTGAGGTTTATTTTACAGTCCCAAGATAGACACAGTAGTGTCCAAAGTAAGGCTCAAACCAATGATCCCTGCATTGAGAGAGGCACACATCTTAACCATATGGCCATTGTTCTACAGATTTATTTGGCTTTCTTGTATAAACCATGTGGAAATTCAGTTCTCTTGTCTTTATTTTTTGTTAACCTTGCAATGTCATTTTTAACATAGATTGTTAATTAAACCATCTTGATTTAATTTTTAAACTTTAAGGATATCTTTGAATCAATACTTATAGAGTCTATTTAGATTTTGCAATTGTCTTTGGTACACAATGTAATTAAATGAAATTAAGTTAAACCATAATCACATAATCAAGTCAGTTAAGTTTAAAGTTATTATATTTGAAGGCAAATAATGGAGCAAACATGATACTTCCAGCCTTAAGTGTGGACAAGAACACATGAACTTTTCATCATATTTCCATTAATAGTTTATTTTCATATAGCAAGGTATTTTTTTCTGCCAAAGATCATAACTACAAAGTTTACTGACATTTACAATACAAAAAAAGTTTAAAAAAGTAAATCCTTACTTCTCTGTTTCCACTTGACAGGAACTAACACCCACATGTCCCTCCAGAATAGAGTAAAGCTAGCATCACTACCGTAATCACCTAGACGCATCTTAGCCTTGTCTTGTAACTGGAATGTCCCTTCATCCTATAACAATACATACGATCATACACCTAGTAATTAGTCATTCAATTCCAAAATCAGACAATTATCAGCAAAAGACTCAGTAAAGTGTGATGTCTTGTATCCTTAGGATTAGTTAACTTGTCTAACCTAGTTTGTCATAAGGACTTATCTGCAAAATATTTTTAACAAAGTTAATTTTACAAATAAAGTAATAGCTCCTATAACTTGCTGACGCCTTAAGTACAGAGCTTAGGACCAGTCTTCAATTTCTCAAATACTAACCAGACTTTATATTGTAAGCAAGTAGAAGTTTAATATCAATTTTCCACATATTAACAATGAACAGTTTCAAATTTAGAGCAGGATATATCCAGCAAGTAAATTTATTATGGTAACAATAAAGAATGAATAAATGTCTTGGTACAAAATTCTCATAAGTCTTTGGCTTCCTTTTCAATCCTGTTTATATAATGTTGTTGTATCATAATTGTATATGTTTGTATTATATGAAATAAATACTGTTCAAACCAAAATTCTCATATTATCCTTTAAATATTGCCTTGCCAATTACATACAACAGTAGTGCATCAAACCCTAGAAATCTGATTATTCCCCCCAAAAAATCTTAAAAGGTCGTGAATTGTTTTTACACATTTCACTATCTTATCAGTGACCAATCACTTACCTTAATGGTAAACACCAGTATTCTGCCATAAGATAATGAATCTAAGAACTCTATCATGGCCTCGTCCTCTTTCTGTAAATATGTGTCAAACAAGCGTGTTGCCATGACAGCACCCTGAAAATCATGATAACAATGTGAATGCTAGTTTCTACAAACAAATAGGGTTGTTATAATAGTATTTTGTTTTGAAACTTGCATTTAACATTTATACCTCTACAATTTACTAAAATTTATTCATTTCCCGAATGCACTTGATTATTGAAACATATTTTTAACCTGCAACTATTTCACAGATGTCACATGATCAGCTTTCCAACCTAGTTTTTTACTATGCACATCACAATTTGGGGTGGCCAAATATACTCATTAGAAAAATGCTTAGTTTTTTTTTAACTATAAATTTATGGACACTAGTTACAGGAACCAATTGTTTTCCTGTAACAAATGATTTGATGACAATTTTTCAAATGCCATTCTCCAATCTCCACTGCCCTTTCAAATAATTTATTACAGAAGGTGATTTTTGTAAAAATTTGTAAGTAATGCTCAATAGTCCAGTACTAAAATCTGCATGTATATATCTAAAGTATGATATATCAAGTATATGACAATTATGATAATTTTTCATAATTTATCATCATAACACTGCTAAAATTCCAATCCCAATGGTAGGGATAGTGTTCTTAAAATGCTGGTTAAAGACTGAAATACTTACAGTTGCTTGGTTAAGCACAAGAACATGAATTCCTCTATCTTCATCAAGACCATCTTTCTTGTATACCTGTACATAGGAAGACAGATTATAAACTTCAAGCATAAAAATGTTACACGCTGAAAATAAGCTGAAAATAAGTACGGAAACATATCAGGCACAATTTAGATTGATATCAGGTACAGCAGCATTTATTGTTGATATTGTGTAAAAATCAAAATTATTTTTTCCCCAACAGTGGTTTTTCTGCATAATAAAATCAGTTTTTGTCATTCGGATGTCATGCATCTAAATTCCAAACAGTGACTTTATTTAGCCATAAAATCACTGCTAGGGGTATATAATTTCTTAAATAAAACACATAATGTTGAAATAATCAGTATAAATCACTTGTTTAGTAACAACTAATAAATCAACTTAAGTATTTTTTTATTAGATACTCAAACTTTAAATATATGTAAAACACATACATTTCTGTCAGAAAAGTGCAAAATATATCTTACTGAAATAAATGCCAAAGATTATCTGACTTTAAAATGAATAATAATTTAAATGATATGCAACGAAAAGAGAAGTTAATCTATTGTAAACCCAACTTCAATACAAATACACTTTTATCTGCTGGCATGAAAAATGAAATCAATGCCAGCACCATTTAATCTGAATCAATGTAAAATGCATCAGGCTAAAAGCCTGTCTGAGTAGGTGATAAAGGAATTCTTGACTGTGTTATTAACAGACATCTAATAAATAACTTTCTAATGACATTAATTCAATGATTTTACAACTCACTTTAGACGTCCAGAGTTACATAATTTTACAAATGTATCTATATACTTAAATACTTGCCTTAAAAATGAAGCTAAAAATGAAAATAATTCTATTGGGGTATGGTTACATATACATCCCACCAATATTGTTACTTTAATAACTAGGTCCCATGGCAACTTTGTCCAGTCTGACCAGACAATTAGTGACTACTGACTGCTTATTTATATATTTTTTATTTCGCTCAGTTCCAATTTCACAGAAGGTCAATGCCATTCTATAAATTTTGTATGTTTAGTATGGTAGGTGAAAAATTTCTAACAATGACAATGGACAGTACAACTAAAGATACAAGCTAAAAAATACTATTTGAGTTGTTATTGTATAACCATTACAGTTAAGAGTACACCTATCTTCTTAAGAATAAGTGCAACCTCTGATAACTGCATCAGTGATTTTATTGTTTGGCTCATTGATCTAGAGCGTGGTCACTTTTTCTCGTGAGCTAGAGGTCATGAGTTCGAATGCCAGCCACGGTAGGATCTATTCTAGACTGATACATTTGAATCTTTCTGTTACAAATTAAAAATGTTTGTAATAGTATAAAGAAACCTCAATATGTAGTCAAAATAGAACACTTGTCAATTACCATGTAATAACCTGTTCATACCAATATTATAATGCTCAGACCAGTTTGTAATGTTGGTTATGAAAGGCTGTGGTACAAAGTATACAGGAAACACAATGCAGGACTGGAAGAATATGTAAATACAAATCTAAACATGATCTAGAGTCCACATGTTCAAGAGTTGTTACGGGGCAGTTCTATTGTAGAACATATTTTTCACAACATGTAATTCAAATGGGGAAAGCAATACATCAGAAGAGTATTATAAATTATTGCTTACGATTTTTTCCAAAATGAATGGCACATATGAAGATTTTTTTCTATATGCATATTAAGTCCAGTCTGCGTAAGTACCTTTTCAAAAACTGCTCTTACAAGTAAGTGAAATAACTATAATATAAAATTATAATAAATTTACATGTATTTTCATTATTCAACTTCAAGTCAACTTACGATTTTTCCATCAGTTTTAACTACGACTCTTTCTTTACTGGACAAGACATCAATCTTTACAGAAGGAAATAGCTCTTCTTGTATCACTGGTATGTCATTATGGTTTCCAAAGTTCTTGCTTACTGAAAGCTCATCTGTGAAAGAAAAAAACACAGGTAAGTGTTCAAAAAAGAATGAAAATCAATTATAATGCTCACCAATCCAGTCAATATTATTTTGACTTATTTGAAAGCTGAAAAACATTGACATATGACTACTATGAGGCAAAGAAAGAAAATCTATTCTTAGCCTCAGTGACCTTGACCTTGATTAAAATAAACCGACTTGAAATACCATCACTTAGGGACAAAGATGTATCAATGAAAGAAAACAACATACACGCCATATAATTATATAACTTATTAGTGAGTAAATGAAGGTAAGTCCAGAGGAATCGATTATCATATCATACATCAATACTTGGTTAAGTACTCTTTGAGGATTCCAAAAAAAGTACCAAGTATCATTGATGATGCACTCAGTCATTCTCATGAATTTTATCTAAAAATATCAGACAATGTAAAATTTTCCTTTAATACATTAAAGATTCATGATCTCTCTCAGTCATATTGCAAGTGATGTGTCAGACATATATCCAATATTCATCATTATCTAATCAACTGAAGTGAAATTTATTAACATACAGGTTTCACAAAATAAATCAAGTGGGTTTTATGTGCAACAGCATTGTTCACTCAAGATATGCTGTCTTTCCTGGTTAAATGATGGAGGAAGACTGGCATAAGCCAACATTTCAGGAAAACCACCAACCATGTTTAAGCTATCTGAACTATTCAGCTAAATTCAAAACCACAGCAGTGAGGGGCCTTTAAACCACACAGACATGGAGGCCCCATCACATTAAATTCTAATGCAAACCAGTGTGCCATTATAACCATATATGTCCACATCAAACTCCCAATCCCTAGATACTGAACATTTACATTAAAATCTCTCAATTTATGTTGAGTAAATGGTATTAACAAACATTTTCATTTTTTATAAACTGACCTTGGACTTCTGCATGTGATCTTAAACTTAGCCATAGGGATCTGAATTTTGCTAAATTAAAAATTTGTGCTATGTATAAGCTTTTCTTTCTGACCTAAAGCTAGACCTTGACCTTTGACTTCAGAGACCTGCTTCAGGTGTATCAAAATAACCATCGAGTCTCAGTATTAAAACTTCAATAGTTCTTAAAAAAAATTGTCCAATCACATGACATTGTCAATCAAAATCAAACAAGATGAAACTTTGTCAGAGATTATGTTGTTGAACAACCCATTAAAGGTATATGTCAAAGTCCAAAAATAAGAAAATAAAACTTACAAGGTAACAGTGTTTTACATACTGCATACTTCTCTAAGACAGAGGACAAATCAAGCAGTTCATATACTATATGCCACATACAAACATAGATAACTGTTATGTATACTATATACTTAATATAAGTATATAACACTTTTAAAATTGAATTAATTATCCACATCATAGGTTCCATACAAAATGCAATAAACAAAATATATAACAATAATTTCTCCCTTAATGTACCTATTTTATAAATAAAAGCAAATTAATTTAATGAAGTATAGATATAAAATGATAAAATGGTGCCTGTTAAGTCTTATTTGCCATTTCCATCAGAATAGAGCCAGGCTAGTCAGCAATTTCATGCAGCTTATCTAAGTAAACTCTACAGACTAACCTGCCTATAGTGACCATTGGTCAGCTAAATGGCTGTTACAGACAGTTGACCACTGTATTCAGGTTCCCAGAGATATCATATACATTGATAAAACATGACATTGCTAAATTGTTATGTTATACTCCTTTCATGTCAAATGTAGCACTTATGTATACAGTGTATAGCGTAATATCATTATGTATATATGATGCAATAGTAAATGTTTGAGTTAATTACTTAGATAGCAAATGAGCACATTTGTCAGTTTTTATGTTTTTATAAGGAGTCTTACATAGAATTAGCTTAGAACAGTTGAAAGCCTAGTCCATTATACAAATTTAGCAGTGTTTGGCCTAAGGGTTAGACAAAACACAAAGCACAAGAAAAAGGAAATAATAATTATTAAGTTATTGAAAGTTTAACAAATGCATAATTATCATTTTCTTGCATTTTTTTCACAGAAAGCAAGTGATTGTACAATTTTATAATCCCTTTATGCAACACACTACAACAGTCAAATTGTCATATCACATCTATAGGTATAATATAGCTTTCTTAATTAATCTATACCAGCCTTTGCCTGTAACAGCTTGTTAGTGTTAAAACTGCATCTTTAAATATATAATATAGATGTGTACAGTCACAGTTAATCCAATATGGCCATAGCATGCACTGAAATATCACTGATTGTAATAAGTACTGAATATTGCTGGCTAAACCAATTAATAATCTAAATTTAAGTTAATTGATTTCCAGTTTCACTGAATTTCACTGAACTACTGTAACTGTAACTGAAACCTTGTTAAACAAACAAAGACAAATTTCAATTAAAATACTAGTATAAGGTATTGTCCCTTTTCCATATATGTGGGAGAAACATTTTTCTGTCCCTAAGTTATGTCCTTCCTAATGTTTGACTGTATATGAACAGCTACATGTATCTCTTCAGAATATATAGTCTGATTTTATTGACCTGTCAATTATGAATACATTACAGGACTCATTTAAATATTCGATCCAACTTCGGTTTGGTCCGTGTAGTTTACGAGAATTAATGTGGAGTATATAAGTCATGGATTGAAAGTCACACCAGTTTAATGTGAAGGATTTCCTTAATTCACGATAGCACAGACGGTAAATAGAATGCCTGATAATTGAGAGGTCTGTGGTTCGATCCTTACTGTTGCCACTAATACTCTTTCTTTATTTTTGCAGTATATTTTAAAGGAACATAATTTTATTTGTAGTGTGTTTTACGGCATTGAAAATACATTTATTGATTTTAATCCGTTTTAATTTTTTAACATGAATTCTTAAACATGTTATTTAAATGAGTATAGACATAACAAAATTAAGTAAAACATAATAAAACAAAACAAACAATATAAAATAATCATATATAGCTTCAATAATGTTGAAAGTATTAACAAGAAAAAAAAAACATGGACCAACGCGGTCTCGAACTTAAAAACACGTGTGGCAGTTAGATTATAAACTCGTGCATTACCCTATTGCGCTATACCGATGAGTGCACTTAGTTTATAGATACAAATTAAATTAAATTCCATCGTACAGCGTACATCTCACGGAACTTACCGAAAATCTACCGAAGATTAATATACTGTGTGCATCGACCGTGTAATCAGTATGTAATTGACAGGTTAATAAAACCAAACAATATCAAGGGATGTTTTAATAAGGTCATACCTGATTGTTTTGAAAGTCCTGATTGTTTTGAAGGATCTGATTGTTTTGAATTGTACTGCAGTTTGCTGTTAGTCTCCATGATAAATGATATGTTGATCATCACTGACACCATCAACATCACTAACAGGACTGTCTGTAATAAAATATAATAACATATGACAATGAATTATCATGTAAAGATCTATATAAAATAATATGTGATAATAAAAAATTATTAATAGGGCAATCTGTAATAAGATATCAAGCACAAATAATCATAAATAAATCTGCCTGCAATGAGATTTGAACACAAATGATCACTAATAGGACTTTTTGCAATGAGATTTGAACACAAATGATCCCTAATAAGACTTTCTGCAATGAGATTTGAACACAAATAATCACTAATAGGACTTTCTCTAATGAGATTTGAACACAAATCATCTCTAAAAGGACTTTCTGCAATGAGATTTGAACACGAATGATCACTAAAAGGACTTTTTGTTATGAGATTTGAACACAAATGATCACTTATAGGACTTTCTTTCTGTAATGAGATATGAACACAAATAATCACTAAAAAGACTTTCTGTAATGAGATTTGAACACAAATGATCACTAAAAGGTCTTTCTTTCTGTAATGAGATATGAACACAAATAATCACTAAAAAGACTTTCTGTAATGAGATTTGAACACAAATGATCACTAATAGGACTTTCTTTAATGAGATTTGAACATAAATGATCACTAATAGGACTTTCTGTAATGAGATTTGAACACAAATGATCACTAATAGGACTTTCTTTCTGGAATGAGATATGAACACAAATGATCACTTATAGGATTTTCTGTAATGAGATTTGAACACAAATGATTACTAATAGGACTTTCTGCAATGAGATTTGAACACAAATAATCACTTATAGGACTTTCTGTAATGAGGTTTGAACACAAATGATCACTGAATTTATGACTCTCTGTAATGAGATTTGAACACAATGATCATAAAAAAGTCTGTCTGTTGTAAGATATGAACACAAATAATCAGAAGATAGTCTACAACAAGAATGTCAGTAGTGTGGAAATATATTGTTGGAAATCAAGTTCATCAAGTTTGTATTGAAATGACTTGTCTCAAAACTTTGACAGTCCTAATGCACTTAAAAAACATACCTTGATCCTTCTAATGGTGGATGTTTTCATTCCTTTAACATCTTTTAATTTATACACTTAAAATAAACTCACTATTTAATATTTTCAAGTCAATATTTTCAAAGTGACTATTTTCCATATCTCATTTCATGTCTGAGATCCATCATTACTGTTATCATATACCATAACTTCTATTTTTCTCCTTCAAATCAAACTACTTGAAATAAATTCATTTTCATATTCAAAATATAAATTCAAGAAATCATTTTACACTTATCAACATTAAATCCTTTTAATTGTAATAAACTATATAAATTCACTTTAATTCCATGAACTAACTTTAAAAGTCAATCATTCAAAAAAAACTTAAATTCAATTAAATTCAAATTAAACTTTAAATCAATCAGATCAAATTAACTTATTAAATGTAAACTCAGAATATTAATCCAATCATCATAAAACTCTTCCTGTTTTTGTTTTGTTTTTTGTTGTTGTTTATTTATTTCTTCTAAATCCCTAACAATATCTTAACCTTCATTTCACTACATTTTAATGCATAACAGACTTAGATATATTACTAAATATGAATTTACACATAAAGTCAAAAGATAAACATCCCTTAAACACCCTTTTATGTTTAATATACTTGAAAGTCATTCATGCAGTGTAAAATAGCATAACTTACTAACATAATATATTAACTATAATCATTACCTTTAATTTCCACATTATACTCCAAAAGTACGGTACAGTAAGAATATAGGGGGAAAAAATACCGTAAAATCCTAAAATACACATTTATTATTAAATTATATTTACTTATATTTACTTAAATTTTCACGAAAGTTTTGGACATCTTGGCAATAGCCTTTTATTTTCATAAAAATAAAAATAACGCATAAAAAACCTTATAAAAATATATGATTTTACATTTCTTTGTTTTGCAAGTAAGTTATACAGTAAGAAAACTATTATCTCATTAACAGTGAAATATATTTGATTGTCTACACTGTCATTTCTTCCCTCCAGCATCTCCCTGTGTAACAAATGACTGGAACAAAATGGGAGATTTCAATCAGTCATACTACAACATATAGTTATATACATGTACATGTACATGTTTGTACGAAAATACATTTTTTAACTATTATCTATTCTTTTAGGGCCAAATAAAAGTAATATTTATTTCTTTTTCCACGGTGTTATTAGCCATGCAAGAATCTGTAACCTACTGAAAAAAATGCAGCTTAAAAAAAACAATTAACAATGAAATGTATTTTTTCTCCAATTAAAATGAAAATCAAATAATAAATAAAAATCAAATTATAGCGCAAAAAAAAATTGAAAAAAAAAAACTACAAATCTTGAGAAAAAATTATGAGTCTATTTATTATCATAATATATTTTTATTGTTATAGACAACACCAGAAACAATTATTTTGTTGTGGGGGGACTTATAATTTCTTGAGTAATAAGTATTATCTATGACAATCAAGTCAGGGTAAAATTGTTACACCCAGTTTCTATCATAAAAATCTGTGTTTGATCACTCAGGCATTACTTTCGTAAACCTGCAAAAACTGTTGTGACTTTACAGAAACAGTGTTGATGCATGACATGCTGTGGCCAAAAATAAACGTACAGTCAAACTTGTGTTAAGCCACAACAGAATTGACTTGAGTGGTTACTTAAAGTCAATTCTTAATAATTATATACCAATGGAAAGTGTAAACAAGACCTTCAATTTTCTCAATGCTGGAAGGTAAAATAAAAACAACACAGAAAAGGGGGCATAACTGTGCAAATGTGCTTATCAGTTTTAAGTGCCCTTGAAAGTCAAAAAATAGTTAACCACGATAAAAATCTAGGATAAAAATCTATGTGCAAAAAGAAGCATTAAACTGCAAAAATATAATTCTAAGATTATCTTCAATAATGCTGATATGACATCACATTTTGATTTTTTTTTAATGATGAACATCAACAAAGAGGTAAACAAAGAAATTCAAAGATGAGAAAGGGGGCTTAACTGAGCAAAAATGAATTTTACGATTATCTGCCTTTTTGAAATTTATTCCAAAATTGATAGTGAATAATTCATACATGTTTGACATTTTGACAATATTCTAAGAAGAATTTCTATATATCCTAAGTAGGACATTAATCCATTAAAACTGTTTTATAATTAGTCACCTTAGTGCAATAACTGGTTATCTCATATTGAATTTAGAAGGACTTAACCTGTTACTGCACTAAAGTAACAATATATCAATATTCTTTATGACTATTCATGTCCAACATAGTGAAAATTACATTGATCTGCCACTTGGACATATCTGAAAATGTCATTGGGACAATATCCTTATTTTAAACGACAAATTATATTTAAATTTACATACCTTGCTTATCTTTCCAAAGCATTGCCGTCGCAGGAAGGTTTTCCTCAGTAACATACTCATATATAAGAGTTGTGGCCCTTTGAACCATAAATAATTGTTAATTATCTCTCATTATCTTCCATTTTGTTTGTAAGCAGCCAAGCACACCTAAACAAATATCAAAGAGATAATGATTAATCAGTTATAATGATTAACTGAGCAAAAATGATTAATGATTAACCAGTCAAGAATATTTTGGATTTTCCCCAAGGTATTCCGTAGGTACAAACAAACATTTAAAGTTACGGTTTCAGAAATAAGAACAACAGGTTGACTTATCTATTGTGAGGGGTAGTGCACTGTGACACTATAACGGTAAAAGTTTGTTTGTACCTACAGATTAGCTGGAAACTAGAAATGTGTCCATAGGACACGGATGCCCCCACACGCCACTGTTCTGTCAATCTTATGACTCTAGGTCAAATATTTTTTGGACTACATGTGCCACAAGTTGAAAACTAAAAATCAACAAAGGGCCATAATTCTATTAAATTTGGTCGCAGCGAAAATTCCTTCCTTTACTACCATCTAAACATTACGGTTGTTCATCCCTGGAAGTTTAAGCAAAATCTGCCATCCGGTTTAAGAGGAGTTGCGTTCACAAAATTTCTACAAAGTATAAAGTGAAAAAATCAACAAAGGGCCATAATTCTGTTAAATTTGGTCGCAGCAAAAATTCCTTCCTTTACTACCATCTACACATTAAGGTTGTTCATTCCTGGAAGTTTAAGCAAAATCTGCCATCCGGTTTAAGAGGAGTTGCGTTCACAAGATTTTGGGACGGACGGATGGACATACCAACTTTTGATGTTTATGAGGCAAATCAGCTCATAAACACCACCTGGACCAACGTCCATAAGCAAAATAAGCTCATAAAAACAAAAAAATAGCTCTTAATTTGAATTTTATGAGTTTTTGTTCTTTATTTAACTACGGAATGAAGCTCAAAATAATCAAACAGGAGAGTAATTATGTGGCTACTCTATTGTTCTCTCTATTGTTCTTTTTAGCCACGCAAAAGAAAATAGCCACATAAAAGCATTACGGAATGAATGACATCAAAGAGAAAGAACAGTTACCTATTGTCCCTCTAGCCACATAATTACTCTCCTGTGAGTGCGGACGGAGTGACGGGCGGGCGGACACTCAGACGGACAAGTGAAACGCTATATGCTCCCACTCTGTGGGGGCATAAAAACCCACATTTGCTGTGTTCCAGATAACATCTTTTTTCCCAGTAGAAAGAGCACTGTTATACAAATAGAACCAAAATTGAAGTATGAATAATAAATGTTGATATTTCAAATATTAATGGACATTTATCAGAAAAGAAAAGTGAAAGCTGTTACTTCACAAGGTTTTTCTCCCCCAGTACAAAAAAAGACCTTAGTCCTTATAAACGCACCTTGCTGTGTTCTTTAGAACTTTATTGAAATTGTGAAGGTTCTGTGTTTAAAATTAAAAGTAATTGAAAGAATAAAAAAGAAAATAAACAGTTTGTTATTGTTGAGTTAAAAAAAGATAACAATTTGTTATATTTTCTTAAAAAAAAACAGGCAAAATTTTGTCAATTCTAAGAGCTGTCATTGATTCAGTGCTAAGCATTTCCATGATATAATATCTTTATTGGACGACAAATATCAACAAAGCATCAATGTATCAATAATTACTTGTAATATTTAATTACTTTTCTACAATTCATTTCCATATTTGTTTAAATAATTTCAGTAATATACATGTTCTGTTTATACAATTATGATGTGTCTTGATTATAAAGTCCCTTTGCATGTTTTTTTTTTTTTTCGTCATCACTATGAAATATGTCCATTATGTAATGAAAGCATAGTTTTAGACATATGGAGACGGCTGCTCTGTATATGTTTAACTTCTGGCCTTTAGGGTGAATTTTCATAATTTCAAAACATTTTTTGTAATAAGTTAATATTATCATTTTTTTTTCAAAAGTGTATCAATTATTGATCAACAGAAAAATACCAAAGATACATGAACATCAATATCGTTGCTACTGATGACAGCTCTTAGAAAAAAAGTTTTGTGTATGTAACATAACATATATGATATCTTTTAACATGTTATTAACATAAAAGTAAATTCACATTAACATAATTATGTTATGCATTTACTGACAGTTCAATTTTACAATATGACGCAAAAAAATATGAATATTGAATCATGATCTATTGTACAATAAGCCTATAATTTGAGCCGTGTCACGACAAAACCAACATAATGGGTTTGCGACCAGCATGGATCCAGACCAGCATGTGCATCCGCGCAGTCTGATCAGGATCCATGCTGTTCGCTTACAAACACTATTACAAGTAGAGAAACTGATAGCGAACAGCATGGATCCTGATCAGACTGCGCGGATGCGCAGGCTGGTCTGGATCCATGCTGGTCGCAAACCCATTATGTTGCTTTTGTCGTGACGCGGCTCATTTATACAATTTTTTCTATGCTTATAATATAAACTGTTTTCAACCAGTATATGTTAAACTTTATTAATTAAGAAATATAAACACAAGACATTTTAAAGGATATTGATACAATTAATAACTAGCTGAGGAATCTAACCTGTAATCATCCAGTATAACAAATAACTATAATGTACACTTGATTCCGCACTACCAATACAAGTTAAAGTATAAGAGTATTAAATATACATGTGATGGATTCCTAATTGTAACAAATATCAACATTGATTTTAATTCAACCGAAGTAAAGTAGCATAAAGCAAACACTGTCAATATAATTTTCAACATCTAGCTTTTATCAAACAATCATGGTCAATATTTTTACAAAGTCTTTATTATAAATGTATTCCGCCCTATCCTTTATCAAATTCAAGTCAAAATAAATAATTCAGAAATTTGTGTTGACATTATTTCATTTTCCAATGAAATAAAACAAAAAAATCTATCTTGTCAGTAAGTGAAAGATATGAGCCGCGTCACGACAAATCCAACATAATGGGTTTGCGACCAGCATGGATCCAGACCAGCCTGCGCATCCGCGCAGTCTGATCAGGATTCATGCTGTTCGCTTACAAACCCTATTACAAGTTGAGAATCTCATAGCGCAACAGAATGGATCCTAATCAGACTGCGCAGATGCCCAGGCTGGTCTGGATCCATGCTGGTCGCAAACCCATTATGTTGGTTTTGTCGTGACGCTGCTCAATTATTCTCTTCCCATGCTTATTGTATATTCAAAGCATTTTCTCCCTATCACAATGGTGCCAATAAGGTTCCATGTCAAATAATCTTTTTTCTTTTTTTTAACTGTTTCTTTCCCCTCATTTTATACAAACTATATTCACAATAGAGACAAATAAACCAAACCAACTTCTGTGAATTTTTTTACAATATTTCCATTACTTTCAACTATTTTATATATTTGATATCTTGAAACATAAGTACAACTTTCATCCATCCTCCGGGGCCATGCTGCTTTTATTATGGTTAGTTTTGGCTGTCTGTAATTTGCAGATAAAAATATTCAACTCACTGAAAATATTTAAGCACCAGTAGGTAACACAAAAAGGTTGATTAAAAGAGTGCATTTTTTTAACATTAAGACTGATATTTAATAAGAATTTAGATATGACATTAAATGTGTGATTGAATTATAACAAATACATATATGATAATGAAGAACATCTCCTACGGATCAAAACTTTCATTATCTTGTAGAATTCGCAATTAAAGAATCAATATAAAAGTTAAATACAGTCTACTCCACTTACAACGAGATCGGTTTTAACGAGGTACCGCTTATAACGTGTCCCCGCCTTTTTCCTTCTATTTTCCTTTCTTTTTATATCGTTTATAACGAGATCGGTTTTAGCGAGATATCGGTAACAACGTACATATATTCACGGTCCTATGCGTTATTATCAGAATTTTCACAGAAAGGTCACATCATTGGCACTTCGTCTGCATCAGTTTGACAACTTGAGAAAAACAATGGTGACCAAAAACAAAGGTCAACTAAGGAAAAAATTATTGAGCAAATAGCAATCAAAAGTGTCAGTCTTGTTTTGTCAGCGCTCCGGGCTAAATTGTCCTTTAAGTGACGAAATGTAATAACAAAACAATTTTATTGAGTGATTAGCTAGCACAAAGGAAGCGGCTAATTTCTTGCAGAGTTATTCGGTGCTCGTGAGAAATACAATGCATGACTTTTGAAACTAGAAATGTGTCCATAGGACACGGGTGCCCCCACCGCGCCACTGTTCTGTCAATCTTATGACTCTAGGGCAAATATTTTTTGAAAACTAAAAATCTTTTACTAATTAAAGGGCATGAACTTTACAAATACTGAATAAATCCATGAGCAAACCCCAAGGTGAATAAGTACAATCATGCTGACCAACATTCTTGTAAACTTTCAGGCCTACAAGTGAAATACTTTTTGAGCTATGCATGAACAAGTTGAAAATTGCAAATTTATACTACTGTTAGTCAAGGGCAATAACTCTAACAAAACTGAAAAAAAGTCCACATGCAAAGTCCCAGGTTCATAGCTTCACTGAGATGTGAATCAATATTCCTGTAATAAATGGATGATGATCATTATTCCTGTAAAGTTGGTTGATTCTAACTCAAGCACTCAAGGAACAAATAACAACATAATGAAACGGTTTTTACTAAGTCAAGGGTAATAACTCTACAAATACTGGATAAATCCACAAGCGAAACCCCAGGTGCAAAACTAAATATGCTGAGCAACCTTCCCATAAGGTTTAATGACTCTATGTTAAATCCTTTTTAAGTTACATGCGACACAAGTTGAAAATTGCCAAAAATTTCTAAGTCAAAGGCAATAACTCTAAAAATACTAAATAAATCCTTACGAAAATACCCAGGTGCACAACTACACATGCTGATCAACATTCCTGTAAAGTTTTATGACTCTATGTCAAATCCTTTTTGAGTTACATATGACACAAGTTGAAAATTGCAAATTTTACTAAGTCAAGGGTAATAACTCTAAAATACCCAGGTGCAAAACTACACATGCTGATCAACATTCCTGTAAAGTTTCATGACTCTAGGCCAAATACTTTTTGAGTTACATGCGACACA